ACTGCTTCTCTATTGAGGAACCCAGACTGACGATGTCGGGAGACATCAGCTGGTATGATGATGACGTAAGGAACAGTGGGCACGGAGATTGTTGAGATATTACCATTATTATAATAACAGGCCATTTATATCGCGCATATTCCCACACCACACAGGGGCATGCTCAAAGCGCTATTATTACCCCAGTCACTGGATGAATGTGCAGTCAACAATCATTCTCATCTCCCTGGGGAGTATGCAACCCAAGCTGCCTGTTAGGCACTAGATGGTTCACAAGCACATTGCCAGCTCTTCCTACCGGGTACCCATTCCCTACTGGGTGAACAGAGGCACATTTCAAACAGTCAGTTGCCCCAGGAGACACCACATGTGTTACATGTGCTTCAGGGGCTGGACCAAAGCCCAAGAAACTCTCAGGAACCAAGCTGCCGACACTTGGTCACCCATCCAAGAACTCTCCGAGACTGACATTGCTTAACTTCACCTGAGGACCATGTGCCACAAGGGTTACAGCGAGATAGTTTTTGTGATGTGTGGTTGGTCAAGGCTTTGTTATTTCAGATGCCATGCACTGTAGCTGGGGCTGACTGCCTTGAATATATTAAACTGATAAGACTCCCAGAGAAGGTGCTTCTGTGGCCTGCTACAAACACAAAGCAGAACGTAAACTGCTTCTGTCAACCATTAACCCAACTGACCAATCATTTCACTTGAAACACTGACATTTGTCTGTAATCATGGTACCTACTATTTAGTCGGAAAAACTTCCAAAGAAATACTAAGACAAGAACCAAGCAGTCTGCTGCGTTAAATGCAAAATTCTGAAACAGTACAAAACACTGTATGCCCAACACTTCATAATAGTAATATACCACACTTCTGAATTCATTGAATATGGTTACAGCTAGCTGACCTCACTAAGATCTATTAATGTTTGATCTCATCTCGTTTAACCATAGAGGGTTAAACATGAAATTTAATAAACACAGGGATTTATCTATGATACTTAACGAAGTACCAGTGTGATCATGTACATCTTCCCGAGGCAAGAAAGTTAATCAACTATAAAAGTTTCCACCCTTGCTGAACTAGACTGGTATTATGGAGTTAGATTTTGGCTGGACTAACGAGTCTATGCATAGTCCAATCAAAATCGCGCAATGAAATCGAAATCCGGTTAGTAAACTGTCACGTAGATTTAGGTCGATTGCAGGATTTGCAAAGTATGTGCACCGCCATCTTGGTGTCAACAGATATTTTCCAAATCTTTTTATGCTTTTAATCAAGGTGCTCACGTGATTTGATGCACTTCGGAAAGTAAGATCCGTTTTATCACAATATAGATCTTGATTATCGATCTGATCATCTTGACTGGGCGCCGGCATTTTGTTTGAAAAATGCAAGTGAAACGAGGGGTGGAATCTGATTGGTCCATATGAGAGGCAAAGAAGGGACATAACTCGGAATAGCCACTGGTGGCACTACGATCGAGACCAGGAATTCCAGTCTAGTTCAACAAGGGTGGAAACTGGACTTTTAAAGTCAGTTAACTCTCTTGCCTCAGGAAGATGGATAATGTAAAACTAAGTACTAAAGCCTCTTCCCCTTCATTGGTCTTGTAATCAGTGAAATGCAAGTTACCTCAACAAAGCCATAACATCAGTTATAACTATATCAACATGAACTGGGCAAATTTTTTTTCCCATTTGGGAATTTTTACTGATATTTGCTGCAGACTTGGGGCCAAATATCGGCCTTTGAGCAGGTTCCAGATAAACACCCAAAACATGTCACTTCAACATCACTGTACAGCACAGGCTGATAGGCCTTCACACTGAAACGACAAAATTTGTTGTGGGTGTACAGTGAAATTGGTCAAATCAAATTGTGACTAGTCCGATACCTGTCAATACTGGAACAATTTACAGCCCTGAATATACTCCATTCTTTCATAATGAAGGTAAATCTTGATTCTGGACCAAAATTGTTGGACAAACGACCCAATTTATCATGATTGATTCTTTTCACACATCTCACTCATGCATCCATCAGCTGTTCTCATTAATAAATTGCTGTATTTTATAAGCATTGCACAAACAAAATTATGCTTGACCGGAACTCTATCCTTTGAATGTGACTTGTTTGGCATTTCCTGCCACTGATTACAAATTTTATCAAAAGATGGTAAGCATGGTAGGGATACTAGTACAGGGACGAGAATGAGTGAGTGAATTGGGTTTAACGCAGCTTTCAACAGTTTTCCAGTTATATTACGGCGTGTCAGCTTAATGTGGGAGGAAAGCCCGAAGTGATGCAGGTCTCAGACGTTTACCCACGAAACCCACAAGCACGGGTATGGTGCTGACAAACCTAGAAACATAATCGGGGTGAACCAGGATTCGAACCCACAACCATAGGTTTCTGGCATGTCCAGGGGACGCAACTCTGCACAGCGAATTGCGGCGCCTTAGACGACTGGGCCACCCATGCCCCCTATAGGGATGAGAATGTTTTTTATAAAAAAGACCCGACAGTTTACCGGGATCCCGGGGACTTATATGTGACCCGCCTTATCATGCTTATGAGTGCTAGGTAGGGCTGGGACGAGTCCTAATTCACTACCTGGGTACCCATCCCCCGATTACCCAACCCTACCCGGGTACCCGCTGTAGGCATCAAGAGGTAGGTACAAACGGTCCGATTGGGAAAAGCTTGACTGTAGCTCTGGTAAAACATGTTTAGATACATTTATGAAATGATCTGGTGCATATACTGAAGTTGACTGAAATTTTATTTTTATTCAAACATATAAAAGCCAGAAGGAATGGGCGTAGTAGTCAGAAAGAACTGCGAACATAAGTGACTTGTAGAGTTTTAGATACTTTTTGTCATTAACCAATATATCACGTGACTAACCATGGGTCCAGGTAGTCCTGTGGGTACCCGGGTCCTACTCAGTACCCACCCGAGTGCCCGAGTTACCTGTCCCAGCCCTAGTGCTAGGATACAATTGTGGTGTGACATCATAAAGAAAGACATTTCACGTCAACTTACTTCCTTAAAAATCGCCATGTATGAGAACTGTACAAAAATATATCTTATTTTTCTCTTGATAGTTCACAATGTAATAAAAATATTATTTCAAAACATTTCAGCATACATGTCTACTTTCAGTTAATCAGTTATTATTATTTCAAGACTGAAAATGGGATTTTGCGGAAGTCCATATGTTTGATGCCATGTATTTCTGCAATACATATGAATTGTGACTTGTGAATTGTATTTTTAAGTTTCCAAAATAGTGTAGTTTTAAAATATAATAAGAAGTCAAAATGGGATTTTTCATCCATAAGGTCCCTTATTTCATGGTGGGTGACATGTATGATCTCTGTGTATATTTATATACAGCATATACGGCATGTATATCAAAATCTGCAGAATTCCACAGATCCGTGAAAAATTCCTATCCTTGCTAGAAATTTGTTCCATTTAAAAATTAAACATCATAGATATGGACAACAAACTTTAGTGACATTCTAAACAAACAAATGTTATACATGTGTCTCTTACTCTTGTTACTACTGTGATAGCAAGGGAAGTAACTGCTGTTACAGTGTTCCCATGTACCAGTAATTACCAGTTTTTCACCGGTAAAATAATTACGGTAGGCTTGGATCTGTAATTCATGTCACTGCCAGTCCTTGTGGACTGGCAAATAGAGTACCTTATTAATCTTTGTTGTTAAACAATATTCAACATGTTCAAAGAAGTATATTTTTCAAATAAAGTCAGCTTGTCTGCTACCATCAGGGTTTTCCCTTGTCTATTTTTAGTGCAAAGAAATAACATTTCGCTTTAAATACATATTTGTTGCAATAGCATCTCAAAATATTCAAAAGAAAGAGAGAAAATTGTGACTGAACTTTGTGTAAATGATGTGTAGATCTAACAAAGTTACTTCTTCAGAGATGACATCATTGCACTAAACATGAGGTTGAAAGAATTAAAACCAGGTGATATTCCTATGGTGTTTTTTTGTGTATTTGATGCTAGTTGGGACTGACAAAAATTAGGGGGGACACTGTTATAATCTCACTATCCAAATCTCTGTTTATTCTGAACTAACCTATGAAGTCTGATTTTGACAAATCCCACTGAATACATGCTTTCCACTGAAAAGTGCATATCTTCAATCAGATTTTCAAGACATTCCCTGAGTATCCAGCAAGTACATTGTCCCCTGGACTCACTCTCTACCACAGCTTCATCTGGGAAGTGACACCACCCTCTTCATCCCTTCCTCTCTCTTATCAGCAACTTCCCACACAATTACGATGTTGTGTCGAGTTTATACACACCATTCAAATCAAACACGGAATAAATAATACCCTTCATCAGCATTAACCGGTCAACAATGTGTTAATCAAATATTAGAGTGGGACTGCCTGCTGCCCTTGTCCAGCGCAGCTAGCCATTGTAATTAGGTAACATGGTAGCCTGCCATTCAACATTAAGTGTAATGTGCATAACCATATTACTTCAAAATATGTGTGATCATGGTAGATTTCTTAATTTTATAGGAGATTACAAATGATTTAACCACAAAATAATGTGAAGGCATCATATAACAGGTCATATATGCCTTTAGTACCATGCAGAACTCGCACTGGCCCTTTGTAAATATTTTCAAAATTGGAATCAAACTTCATGTTTATTATCAGCTGCTAATAGTTTACATTTCATGTTTTCTACAATAGTATATGCTTCCCACGAAATGACGGAAAATATTGAAAAGCATCAGGCACTGGATGTTTTGACTTTGATATTTTGACAGTTAAGAATGAAGTCTGACAGTCAGCTCCAGACAGATCGAGAGAGTCAGTGTGATGAAATCTGTATGTGATATTAATGATGGGTGAAGTCCTTATCTCGCATCTACCAATCTCACATATTCATATTCAGGGGCATATGCCTAAATATATTCGAAAAATAACACTTACACAAAACTTGCGAAGAAATAAAAGTAAATTGCAGCGGGTACCTGTCAAGTCAAAGGTAGGTAACTCTAATATTACAATCCAAGGGATGTAATGCTTGTTACTTCCGGTTTACCTGTAATGATTCGGAGGTGACAAAACAATCGAATATTTCGATTTAGGAGGAATTACACACATAAATAACAGGTAATGATTGTTCGAGAACGCAATAAAGATCCAGATGGTGTTATGTTAGTGAATTAAAATATTGCTCAACAATTTTGCTGAAAGAACTGTCCAATCTTCGTCTAAAGTAAATCTCTCGACTGAGTCGATTACAGCTGATCTGCCGTCTTTTGTCACATGATTCTCTATTGCTGGTTTATAATCACACGTAACAATTTTGCCGAAAAAATTCAATTTGTGTTTTATATCTCGTTTTTTAAACCAACGGACAATTGAAATATGAATTGACACTCAAGGCTTCGATGTATCCCGTGAAAGATACTGTTAGGCTGAAAGGGCTGTAAGTGAATTCGTCACCTCACTAGGCACTAATTCGTAGCCATGGAGAATTCGTAGACACTCCGAACACTTAGACAAAATTCACGGTGAAGTAGCAGACAATACAAATAAAATTGGGGTACAATTAAATATTGATTTATTTCATATGCGTGAATTAAAATGTGGCAGTTATGGAGATAATTATCAATGTTTCAGCACTTAGGGATGCGTGCACCAATGACAGCTTGGAGAACGGCGTAGAGACAAAGGATGCTTCAATATACTCACTGGATTGTTGATTTATGAAAGTATTTACAAAGGATAGTGCAAAAAAAATGCTAATATTTACCATATTTTGTTTTCTTTAACACTTTAATCACAGAAGAAAATGCAAAAGGAAACAAATGAATATTTGAGTTTCATTCAGGAAATAGCCTAGTGCAACAATCATATGCCTTCTAAAACAAAAAAAACTATTCAGGTAAATGAAAGACACTTCAATATTCCGCTAAATCTAAGTATTGATAATAATATTCAGAGTATTAATCATCATCATATCAATTCCAATATAATAAATTCTGTTTTCCATTTTACTACGGGTTTGTCTATACGTTCACTGTAAATTGTGTCTATGAGTTGGCGGTGTCCATGAATCCACTATAAAGTAGCCTAGATAGTAAAATGAAATTTGTTGAAGTAGGTCTAGTATTGAATTAAATTTTACTGACCATGTTAACATTCTGATGAATTTTGGCAAATTTGTGCCCAACCCCGATGTTATTACATGACCCTACCCGGGCACCCGCTGTAGGTTCAAGAGTTGTAGCGATTGGGAATTGTTTTACTGGGGTCCTGGCAAAAAGTATTTAGATACAAAGATACATGTTTAAAGCAATCCAATTACATAAACCAAAGTTAACTGAAGCTTTATCTTTACTCAAACATATAAAAGTCAGAAGGAATGAAAGCACAGTCAGAAAGAAATATGGACAATAGTGACTTGCTGTAATGAGTTTTATTGTTATTGTCATTAAACACTATATCACGTGACTAACTATGGGTCCAGGTAGTCAGGACCCACCCGATCAGAGTACCCGAGTTAACCGTCACAGCCCTAATCACAAGACAAATGATTACCATAATTACAGTCAGTCGGGCAGTAACAACAGGCAATACAGTTCCAACTGAAACTTATTGGGTTTTTACTGCTTCAACATGTTCAATGAACGTTAGAAAAATAACTGCTTAGGTTTACCCTTTGGCCACGCATTATGTGATAAGTGGTTTTCTTAGAGCTGTGGCACGCATGCAATGACAACAGTGAAATTAACAGGTTAGAAGATTTCTTACTTGCCATTCAAACCGTAACCTCTAAAACATTTACGATTCCCTACAAGTTCAACCATTTTCTTATATTACGAAGTGATTACAGATCCACCAAATTTCTTTTTCCCTGATTTAAAAATAAAATTAAAAAAATACAAAATTTCTTTTTATGTAAATCTACGATCATAAATGTAGAACAAAGGAAGTTGCTTTTTCAACAGTACAAATGTTTGTGTTATGATCATGATGTTTGTACTAGTTGTTAACATGATTATAGTAGTACAGTGATCCCTCGCTACAACGCTACCTTTGGGGTCCAAAACATTGATGAGCGTTATAGACGATCAGCGGTTTAACCAAAGTGGAGTCGTAGGGGTTAGATGACCAACAAAACAATATACATACTACCTAACATGATATAGGCTGCACGTTTCAGAGTTTAAAAAAAGATTAGAATAATAGTTGTTTATGATTCTCAGTGAAAAAAAAGATATCTCGAGTGTTAAGCGCTTTAAAAAGAAACACATTGTATCCCTTCAGCGAATTAAGGTGAATGAACAGGAATAACAAACTTGGTCAATAAAAATATGAAATTTGATATAAAACATCAATAGACACGATGATTTACCTTTTAAAATGTATTTCCTGCTCTCCAAGACATTGTTTAATAAGCAGAGATTAAGATGACCGTGTGTATTTTCTCGTAAACTAAGCCAGAAATAGCAATCAGCTGTACACACATTTCTCCCAATCTACCGGGAATTCAATTAAAAAGTACATAACTTCAAAGAATTTTGGTGCATTGATCGGAAAAAATTGTATATGAAATTATTATTTTATCAGGAATAATATATTCCAATATCATGTTATCTTAGTTGTAGCTTTCACTATATATATTTAAAATTATAAGCACCATAAGCATAGCACTTGGTACAGGTGATTGCTATTGCTGGATATTTTTACGTATAGAACAATTTGACCAGTCACCGCAGGGACTTCCCGCACTACATGTATTTTGACTGTGAAAATGTTATGTTGACATTTAATACAATATCATGTTCATGTGTCAGTATAGCATGCTTGGAGCTTTGTACATGTTGTAGAGGAATTCTTCATGTTGACTGGGGCGGTCCGGTAGCCTAGTGGTTAAAGCATTCGCTCATCACGCCGAAGACCCGGGTTCGATTCCTGACATGGGTACAATGTGTGAAGCCCATTTCTGGTGTCCCCCGCCGTGATATTGCTGGAATATTGCTAAACGCGTCGTAAAACCATCCTCACTCACTTCATGTTGACTGTTCATCCTGGTTGGTCATAGGAAGGACAGTGATTGAACATATCCTTGTATTGCTGTTTCTGTGTTGCAGAGTCGAGTTGCCGTCAGGATGCCCTCCACAAAGAGAACTGTCCTTGTCACAGGTGAGCATCACTTGTGCCAGCACTAGAATTAGAATTTCTTACCAATAAATTTACATGATTCAGATACCATGTGATATTTTATCTTATTTATTTTTTAATTTTCAATATAGTAAGATGGGAAAATTATGTTTTCTACAAACTAAGGTTTTATTGATCTAACTCAGTTTAGCAGGTAATACCGTCGTATATAAACATTTCAGGCTGTCAGCATAAACCACGAAATTTACGATCTTTCAACTCACCAAAATAATGTTCTAATAAGAGACCCCTAGTTTTAATTTTGAGAGCACCCTGGGCGCTTATTACGTCGAATACGGTAATCATGATGATTGTATTTCAATATCATAAGATGGGAATATTACTTTTTCTGCAAACTAAAGTTTTAGTGATCTAACTTAGTCTAGCAGGAAATTATGCTCCATAGGTCATTGTAGACAAAGACAGTTTGGACCTACACCATGAACACTGACTTGTGTACTTGACCATGTTGACAACAAATTATAGCATCACCATATTTTACTCACGCAAACGCCTCATGTGAGTGAGTCTCCCATCAAGCAACTGTTTCAAGCAAGATAGACATGATGACTAATGTATTGTATGTCAACACTCAAAGGTAGATCATTCAATGTGTCCCACTGTTGGCACCTCTCCAGTAAAAAACAAATCCTGCGGGTCTGAGTAATATGGGTCCTATGTTAGGGAAACCCTCACATCATGTCAAAAAGTAATGTGACTGCATGAATCTGAATGTCTGCTTCTGATTGTCCAGGGTTTGGGCCGTTTGGCTGCCACAAGGTGAACGCCAGTTGGGTGGCGGTACAGGAGTTGGAGAAGTTGGGACTTGGCGATGATGTCGACCTGGTCACCCAGAAGCTGGCAGTGGAGTATGACACCGTCACCAACACCATCCCCACCATGTGGCAGACGCACAAGCCAGCGGTAAGATGATGTCCGTGTACTGTCCACAGGAATATAAGATATTGTCCTGCTTGTGTAATGTGGAATTATAGTTGGTTGCTAGGAAATAGGTTTTAGCAATTTGGTAAATATATACTCACCGCCAAAACAAACACGAATACTATCCATGTTGGTTAATATATGATGAAATACTGATGCTCAAACTAACACATTGTCATGTTGCGTGATCCAATGCTCATGAACGCTTCACATGTGACATCATAGATCCATGTCTCGAGATTCACCATTTGTCTCGTGCAGGATTAGCGTGCAAAGTTTGGAAATCACGTGCAGCATATCATGATAAGAATATAGACACTCTGTGATAACACTTGACTGATTGTTAGTTTTGTCATGAATTAGTACACATTGGAAACTTCTCTTCTTAAGGTAAATACTTCTCTATATGTTTGTATGGTTCGTATTTCTTTTGGCAGTGAGTATATACAATGTTTTGTGTATTAAACATGTTGAAGATTGATTCCATATATATAGAGATTAATGTGATTATGTGTACATGCTGCGTCAGTCCTGGGATTTGAAGCTTTCAATATTTATGACCCCTCATATTATCCTCATAACAGGATTAACCCTCTTGGTGCCAAGGGACCATATCAGGGACCATATATGGTCCCTCACTATTCACATCCACTTACTGACTTACATACATGGTCCCATGAAATTCCTCTTTTCAACTGCAAAATAGATGTCAAGCACTGAGTGAGCCAAAGCAAAACTATGACCATCATCACCCTAATCATCTCAGCTTTAACATCATGTAACCCATAATTTATACAGTGCTACATATTGTGAAATATTGTTTTTCCACATGCATACTACACACTGTTGTATTGTTGGGAGTACATGACAAAGCTTAATGCATTTTTTCTAAACGCTAGTGTAGCAGGGCGTGGAGTCTGGGACATGCCTTCTGTTGACGGGGAGCATGTAGCAGGGCGTGGAGTCATCCCACAGATGACATCCTTACCTTGTCAGCTTGCTGACGGTGTTAACCTCTTTGGTCATGTGGACAAGGCGTCCGGCCTCTGATTAGAAGGTCCGTGGTTCGAATCCCATCACAGGACTCGGAAATTTTATGGCCGCTACATTGGCGCCCAACGTGGGGCTGAGCACGTTCATATTAGATTTGAGCAAAATAAGCCTCAGCACCCTACTATGTAGCCCGGGACGTGCCTTCTGTTGACGAGGGTGTATGTAGCAGGGCACAGATGACATCCTTACCTTGTCAGCTTGCTGACGGGGTTAACCTCTTTGGTCATGTGGACAAGGCGTCCGGCCTCTGATCAGAAGATCCGTGGTTCGAATCCCATCATGGGACTCGGGAAATTTTATGGCGGCTACACTAGCATTGGCTTCAATAAGATTTTTTGCTGTTTAAATGAGTAGCTTAGCTGTATTCATGGATGATCATGTCAGCTACTATTAGTTAGGAACTAATTTTTATTTGTATAATTTAAATATACAGTTTAAAAAATCAACATGATTACATGCATTTTCTAAAAGTGAAGGCATAAATTTCCAACACTGTATCCATCATAGACTTGCTTAAGTCTCTAAGGCAATAAGCATTAGTTTAAATCACTAGTTCTAGATTATGTAAATAATAAGAACAAGTTGTCCCTATATGAAACTAGTGTCCTTAGACTGTCCACGTATGTAGACTTGCCTAGTAGGATAGAATTACTACACATCCATGGACCTTTCTTTCAGTACAGCCTTGCAGCAAGGCTATAACTGTCACTGCATGGATATTGTGATGTTCCTGTGTTTGTCTGCAGCTCGTGGTGCACGTAGGGGTCTCCGGCATCGCGACAGAGTTGACCTTGGAGCAGCAGGCCCACAACGACGGCTACGACAAGCAGGACAACAATGGCACCTGCCCTACAACTCGATGCTGTGTGGATGGTGCTGACAACTGCATCGTGTCCGAGATCGACATGCAGTATGTATGTCAGGAGGTCAACAATGCAGGGATCAAGGTCAAGGCCGTTGTGTCACATGATGCTGGAAGGTAAAGATACCGTTCCCTGACTTGTCTGATAATTAGCTGAGAATGAAACTGATCAACTTTTATATCATACACTGCATTGGGCAGCAGAAGTTTGAATTATGGAGGTGTTTGGGCTCACTTTAACGCTCATCTGTCATCGATGTGAGCTTATTGTGGGCCCTTGTCCATGCAGTAGCACCGAACTAAACATCTCTTCTCCTAACATATAATACAGGGTAGAATAGGTCTTCAGCAAGCCATACTTGCCGCAAAAGGCGACTTTGCTTGTCGTAAGAGGCGACTAAGGGGATCGGGTGGTCAGACTCGCTGACTTTGTCGATGCATGTCATTGTATCCCAATTGCGTGGATCGATGCTCATGATGTCAATCACTGAATTGTTTGGTCCAGACTCAATTATTTACAGACCGCTCACATATAGCTGGAATATTTTTGAGTGTGGTGTTAAATAACAATTATACAAACAAATATAATGTTTGATCATTACAATTTGATACATAACTTACCACTATGATCCAGCATAAAAACAACTGTGTGAAATAAAATGCTAAGCTACCAAAAGTTTTTATTCTTTTTTTTAACTACACATGGTAATTCATTGACAATGGTTTTTTAAAATAAATTTCACAACAAAAAAGTATGGCCTACGTCGTTTGGAAAAGGCAATAATTTGATATGGTGAATGAATCTTTCTAAAAATCTCCTTTCAGATATCTATGCGACTTCTCTTTTTTCACATCTCTACACATTGATCGTTGCCGAGCTGCCTTTGTCCATGTGCCTCCCCTCAACACTCCGTACACTGCTCCCGAGTTGGCGGAGGGCCTGCGATGTGCCCTGCTCTCCATGCTCAAGCAGGTGTCTTGACTACACGCCAGATGTAGAATGCATCGCTACTTCTAAGAATCCCATTCACTTCGATCAAGCATAATTCCGAAGATAATGCAATAATTGAAATGCTCACCACAACTCTGTCACCACCAATCATCCACCAATCAAACTGCACATTTGCACCTGATGGAAGTAGCTGTCTGTTTGTAGAGGTCGTATGTGAAAGGTCGTGGGTCAAGAACAAAAGTTCAATGTCACATCTTGTTTTGATGTCTGTTGTGAATCAGGAAACAGTTTTTGCACAGTTGCCATGGTAACTATGATCCTGAAGTGTTTCCAAACTGATTTTACTACAATATTCAGATTTGTGTTTCAGTTGAGCTATGACTGATATTTGTCAATGTATATTTTACCAAACCATCTTAATATCGATGAACATTGGTGACTGTGACGTAAAGCAACAGTTTGCATCCTCTCAGTTCACTTGTTTTCTTGGCGAAAGATAGAAATCTTGAAATAAAATATATAACGAGACACAAACTAAAAGATATTGAGGAAGCATATTTTCACATCACCTTTGGCTGTTGAAAATTAATAGGCTGATTATTATGACAAAAACTAAATGAATCTTGCTATTTACAATTATGAATATTATATGTTTGATGCAAAAGCAGCTCTGAATTCCAATAAGACTGAAATTATCAGATGTCTGATGTGGGGAAATGGACATGCATTTGTATTTTTTTGTTTCTTTGTTTCTTATTTCGAACTTGGTCTTGTGTGATATCAAGTACTTCTTCTATTCTGATTACACATTTGCAGTGTTTCCCGATTGTGAGTTGTGTTTATTTGGCACTGAGATTGATTCAGTTTGTTTCATCTGTGAGGAGTGTTGTGTCATGTGACTGTATGATATGTGTGTCACATGACAATGTGTATGACGTATGTGTGTCACGTGACAATGATGTTGATCCCGTTGTCATGTGACAGTGTGTATGACATGTGTCTCACATGACAACGATGTTAATAGCTTGGTCATGTGACAGTGTGAATGAAGTGTCACATGACAACAATGTTAATATCTGGGTCATGTGACAATGTATATGACATAAATGTCATATGACAACAATGTCAATAGCTTGGTCATGTAACAGTGTGAATGACGTGTCACATGACAACAATATTAATATCTGGGTCATGTGACAGTGTGTATGACATGTCACATGACAACAATATTAATATCTGGGTCATGTGACAGTGTGTATGACATGTCACATGACAACGATGTAGCTGGGTCTTGTAACCATGGTAACAGACATCACTTGTAGATGTATATATGCATGTACAACCTACCAAAGGATATTCAGTTTGCCAAGACAATTATGAAATGATTTTATGAAATGATATAAACAGCAAGTTGATAGTAGATGCCATCACTGATATTGAGTCACGAAGATAAGTTCTGTACTAAACAGTGTAAGCATTCTAAATGTTTTAAGTAATTCTTTATATTTAATTACTGTGCAAAGTGGTCCTAGTCTCTGTGAATATACATATTGTCATCATAATTATTATATACAAGAAATAGTAATGGATCTTTACAAGAATTACTAGTTTGTTGTTGGCATGATTTTTGTAGGATGCAAGATCAGATAGACACTGTACAAAGGGCACTCCCAACAGAGTTGTTTGTTAAAAAGAGATTCCTCAGAATAGAAAATCTGTATGTGTTAACTTCTACTCCAAGAATTCTTCTTGATCCAGATATTGATTTGGTAAATTAATTTTTAGTTATATTGCATTTTTGTAAATATTATTTTACTCTTACTGCTTTTTTCTAGGTAGGTGAAAGTATACCTAATTTTAAACAAAGTTTAATCCAGCAATTCTGTATGTATTTTGAGATGATGCTACATCACAAAGGCAAGAAAATTGTGGGTGTCTAAGTTGCGTCATTTATGAAGTTTAAACAAAAGAATAAGTTGCCTCATTAATGATGCTTCTTCTACCGGTACATGCAGACGATGCAGTGTCCTTCTTCCAATGTTACAGTGCATGGTCACCTGGTGTAGGCCCTCGGTGGTTCAAGAAGGACATGTTTTAAGTGTGTGTGCACTTTGAGAGGAATTTTTGTGGAGTGTTGATATTGTGATATTTCCTGAAAAGGATTTCTTTGGATCAAACTGTTTTATGAGTTGATTTCAGATGAGGAACTTACTGTCAGAGTTATGTCCCTTTGAACATTATTTCCTTTTACAATTTTTTTTTAATTTGGAATTTGATGTTTGAAACATTTTGGATATGATTAATTAATAACGTTTTTTTAAATATCTTTAAGGTATGTAGAGAGAGCAATGGTATCAAATCTGTTGTTTTGTTGTCTTAAATTCTAAATGTGTGGTACCTTGTGGGGTTTTTCTCCTGATCGTCCAGTGATTGATGTATATTTCAAAACAGGACCTGTAACACTTTCTGTTCTTGCTAAACTGACAAATATTACCATCTTTCAGTTATCATTTCCTTTCAATAAAATTGACAGTTATTATATGTCAAAAAAAGAGAAAAACACTTGGTTTGTTTACTATTTGTGTAAACCTAATCGGGAAATAAACATCTAAATATCATTATGCTACATGATGCCAACATTATCTTTCAGGGGACTATGTATATATGATTCTCTGTTGTGTACCAGATACTTTGTGATGCACAGGGTTTTATAGGTAAATCTGTCAAATGTACATTTTATGTCATACCTGTAAATGGATAAGGGTTATGGTCTGATCTTCAGGTTTAATGTAGAACATGTCACAGATTTCTTCACACGTGTGATGACTGTGGTTTCTTGTGTCTTTAACATGGCATTCAACATGTTCGATAACCTAAGTTATTTCTTTGTTATGTTGTACCTAGAATCATTTTTACTTTGAATTGTATCTGGTTTTTTATGTCTGATCCATACAGTATTCAACTGGGATTTTATACATAAATGTTACACATTGTACAATGAATCTGTAACCATGGTAACATGGGATCTATATTCCTTTACCATCAGTGAGTAAATGTTAAACTGTTTTAGCTCTTGTTTCTGTTTTAACTGTGTCTAAACCATTGTTTCATTTTGGCCTGAAAAATGAGTGTAGGTGTATTTTCCTCAAGACAAGCAAAGGAATCCCTTGATGAATGCAAGAGTTCAGATCTGGCACAGGGAAACCATGGCACTTCCGTTTACTGAATGTGTTTGACCATTTGTGATTCTTTTTGTCATAAGAGAGAAAATTTTTGTTGTCAGCAGCTCTGGCTAAAGGGAGATAATTCCTACTTTCAGCAGCCACAGGCTCCTCACAGCAATAGCCTGTTTGCGGAGCTGTCTATACTATCGCTGCCACCAGTCAAAACTCCCCACTGTGATAGATGGCCCCGAATGAAATAGCAACCGAATGACCGTTATGTTTACAATCAAGTGACGACTGTCGTGACACCGAATACACTTACCGCTGCTAAATTACTGTTCTTTGCTTGTCAATTTGAATTTCTATTTCATTAAAACTATCATCTTTAATTGATATAGTAAGAATGTAAGGGAGAAGGTGGTTGATTTTCCGTTAGTCTGCAATCTCGAACCAATCTGATTATTAAAACAACAAAGTAAATTCATCTGGAAAACATGGTCAGTCGTAAAACTTTTCAAAATGAAATATGATGGCATTCCCAAAGACATAAACAAAAGTATAAACGTTACTACATTTGGGGTTAGAGGGCGAATTTCAAGACTCTTGTAATTGCAGCGCCCACACTGGTGGCAGCGATGTTACCGAGAGTGTAACGAAGGTTTCACACGCTGGAAAGGAGCTTGCAGCAGCCAGGTGTTATGATAACAAGCAAGTGATGACTGTCGTGGCGGGGAATATTCTTCCCCCAGTTAAATTGTTTTGTTTATTTGTCAGTTTGAATTTCTATTTCATGTCAACTATCATGCAATTAGTATAGTGAGATTGTAAGAGGGACGTAAGGTGCTTTTTACCTTAGTCTGCTAACTTGAACAATTAAACAAATGTAAATTTTTCTTGGAAATAGTAAGTCAGTCATAAGCTTTTGTCAATTCACTATAAAGATGTACACACAAATATTAATGTCTGTACATTTAGGGATGGAGTGAAAATGTTTGGAGGCTAACAAAGTTGTTATATGCCAGGAAGGAGTTTGAGCAACTCGGGCTGAAGGGAGAACTCTTACAGTTACTAACTCGTATGTTTACAAACAAGTGATGACTGTTGTGACTGACGATGCCCTTGTCTGGGATTCAGCTTGTATATGTCAGACTGAAGAGAGACAATTTTACAGTCGTCTCAAGTCAAATTAACTTACTGTTGGGTGTAAAAACATATTTTAATTTTCCAATTTTTATGTGTCATCCGTTGATTGAACAAAATACAGTGTGACATGCAGTTCTGTCATGATTTATTTGTTGGTGACCTCGTATTTCCTGCCCAGAAGTATATACTGTAAATCGTGAAATTAATGCGTCTCCAAAAAAATGCGACCACTGGACCCTAGCCAAAAATGCGACTCAATATGAATGCGACACCCCCTCCTCTCAAGCATCAGTGGATATCTATCTAAAGATGTCCTCAGTCAGGTTTAGAATCCTCACCTTAAGCCAACCTTACATTAATCCAATCACACACCAAACAGCACCGCTTATTAGCGCTGAGTAAAGTACTTCCGCAAAAACAATACATGCGCGCTGGCTCGTGTCGGCCTTTGACGCAGTCGCGAAGAACAAAGGGTGGCGTCTGTCTGGACTTGCAGTTGTGATCAGTGATGACATAAGTGAGAACTCTTGTCTTGACCCCAGCAGTGACAATTCACAGGACGTAATTAGTGTTTAGATGACATTGTTTATATACTTTATATACAAGTTGTGCTCAATAAACAGTGGTGTGGAATACATCAGAGTATGTCTAAGTTGGTATTTCTGCTATCCAAAATGTCTTATTGTTGATATAAATGTAATGTTTAAAAATGCGAGCACAGACCACTTGCATTTTTCGCATTTAATTCATGCTTTCATAATTTCAAGATTTACAGTATTTGATCAGGTTTGAATTTTGTGAAACTATAATCAGAAAGTATTTCATGTAGTCGGAACCCTGCCCTAGAGAACTCAATATGTGGAATATGTAAATGTGTTTATACAAAGAAGGAAAACCATTGTGTGTACTACAACATGTTGTCTGTCGTACCTCAGGCTTAGTGAACGTGGTCATCAGGGGAACTATGCAGGAACTGGATACTGGTTATTTTATGCATAATATGAAAGGGGAAAATCCAGCAAAACAAAAGTTCCATTGCATCTTCCCCAGGCAAGGGAGGTAACTGACTGTAAAAGTCCAGTTTCCACCTTTGCTGAACCAGGCTGGAATTATGTTTTATTTTGGCTGGACTAACGGGTCTATGCCTACATAGTCTAATCAAAATCGCATAACGAAATTGACATCCGCTCTGTCAACTGCCCTGCAGATTTTGGTTGATTGCAGGATTTGTAAAGCATGTGTACCACCAACTCGGCGTCAACAGATATTTTTTCCAACCTTTACATGTTTTTAATCAAGGTGCTCATGTGATTTGATGCACTTCACAAAGTAAGAACCATTTTATTATAGTATAGATCTTGATTATCGATCAGATCATCTTGACCAGGCGCCGCCATTTTGTTTGAAGCCAATGCAAGAGATATGAGAGGTGAAATCTGATTGGTCAATAGGAAGGACTTAGAAGGGACATAACTCGTTAGAGCCAATGGAGGCACTACAATGAAGCCCAAAAGTCCAGCCAAGTTTGGCAAGGGTGGAAACTTGACCTTGACAGTCCATTATCTCCTGCGCCTGATGGTTCCACTGTTGTTGCAGAAGACTCCATCTCTAGGGCCAGTTGATGCATGGGGTGTATCACTGGTTAGAGACACAGTGTAACCTGAGACTGCTGATGGTTGTTGACGAGAAGATGGTACTTCATGAACATACGGGGGCACGGGTGGCCCAGTCGTCTAAGGCGCTGCGATTCGCTGTGCAGAGTTGCGTCCCTTGGGCACGCCAGAAACCTATGATTGTGGGTTCGAATCCCGGTTCTCCCCGATTATGTTTCTAGGTTTGTCAGCACCATACCCATGCTCGTGGGTCTGAGACCTGCATCACTTCTGGTTTTCCTCCCACATTAAGCTGACACGCCGGGATATAACTGGAATACTGTTAAAAGCGGCATTAAACCCAACTCACTCACTCACTCATGAACATACTATGACATGAATATTCCCTGACTTCAAGTACAGACCCTAAATCCATCATTTACTGTCTACTTCTCAAACTACACAGAGTTAAACTGTCTCTTTTTGTCGAGTTATCTTACAATTTTGTACGATTTTACAATAATAATCACTGTACAGTGTTTGAAAGTCCTGGCTTTAGGGCACCTGCATTAGTTGCACAGCTGGAGAGTTGCACTTCTCATCATCGAAACTTAGATATTTCTAGTTCTACACTTTTTCAACATTTACTCACATTTGAAGTGATTATCCGTGACGTGATTCTGATGTTAATGGTACATCTTAATTGATATTAATGTTACATGTTATTGATGTTAATGGTGCATGTTATTGATGTTAATGTTACATGTTATTGATGTTAATGGTACATATTAACTGATGTCAATGAAACATGTTAATTGACATTAATGCTATGTGTTCATTGATGTTAATGATACATGTTAATTGATGTTAATGAAGCATGTTGATTGTTGTTAACAATTGTTAATGGAACATGTTATTTGATGTTAACAATTGTTATGGAACATGTTAATTGATGTTAACAATTGTTATAGAACATGTTAATTGATGTCAATGTAACATTATGATTGATGTTAATAGTTCATGCACATTGATGTTAACAGTACCTGTACATCGATGTTAACAGTACCTGTACATTGGTGTTAATAGTTCATGCACATTGATGTTAACAGTACCTGTACATCGATGTTAACAGTACCTGTACATTGGTGTTAACAGTACCTGTACATTGGTGTTAACAGTACCTGTACATTGATGTTAACAGTACCTGTACATTGGTGTTAACAGTACCTGTACATTGGTGTTAACAGTACCTGTACATTGATGTTAACAGTACCTGTACATTGGTGTTAACAGTACCTGTATATTGGTGTTAACATGCTAGTTGGTATCAGTGGAATATGTCAATTGATATTAAGGGTGCATGCTAATTGACTTCCATGGTATAAATGAATTGTTATTACCTTACATGCTAAGGGTACATGCTAATTTTTAGTGTAAGCATGTCTATTCATCTTTAGTCGTCTAAGCTGCTGCGATTCGCTGTGCAGAGTTGAGTCCCTTTGGCACGCCAGAAACCTATGATTGTGGGTTCGAATCCCGTTTCACCCTGATTATGTTTCTAGGTTTGTCAGCGCCATACCCATGCTCGTGGGTTTCACCGAAGTGGTAAACGTCTCAGACCAGCATCACTTCGGGTTTTCCTCCCACATAAAGCTAACATTCAATGATATAACTGGAATACTGTTAAAAGCGGCATTAAACCAAACTCACTCACACACCCCATTCATCTTTAACACACATCTGAACAAAACATATGAATAGATGTCACTTGTTTGTGTCAATGTAACAGTAACAGCAAATTTAAGGAAAAAGGAATTTGTAAAATGAATTGCCTAGCGCCTTCCACCTTACCTTTGAAAGGATTGTGTTGAAAGTTTAGTTATCAATCATTTGTTGTGTCTGTCTGAGTATTTTCAAAGTATCTGTTCATCAGTATGTCGATGAATAACTCCTCATAGGGCAGCTTCAAGGTCTCCTCACAGTCCCTGGATGATGGGGGTCTTGTCAAGAGATCCGGCAGTGGAACAAGATTGGATGGGAGATGGTGGGCAGTGGAACTAATGTTTCTGGTATCTTTTTACAGGGTTCAAAATACAAACTGAATAAACATGGTATTTTTTAGTTTCATTTAACTTCTGACAAGACTTTGAGCAACACCATCTTTACAGTGAATGTAGGACTTCCACTGTTCTTTGGAACATGGTTCTTTGTGATATTTAACACACAGTCGTTGCTATGTGGTAGCTTTAAGATGAGTGGACTAGGCACGTGTTAGAGACATGGGTCCTCCATCCAGGAGGGATGCCACTGTATTGTTATGCCCTAAGTTTAGTTGTTGATAACTCTGCACTCTGCAATATTCCAGCTATATGACGGCAGTCTGTAAATAATCGAGTCCGGACCGGACAATCCAGTGATTGACATTATGAGCATCGATCCATTCAATTAGGATACTATGACATGCATCAACCAAGTCAGCGAGCCTGACCACCCGATCCCATTAGTCACCTCCAACAGCAAGCATAGTCGTCTCTTCCGACAAGCATTGGTCACTGAAGTCCTATTCTAACCTGGATCTTCACGGGTTGTTACGCCCTAAGGAATTGTTTAGGATGTGGTTGACTATTCATCAGTGAGTGAAACAGTTCACTGGAATTGTGTTCCTACTGTGTGTGTCAGAATGTCAGTCTCTCACATGCTGAACTTTAACAAAGCATTTATTTTATTTTATTTCTCTTTTTGATTACGTTTTTTCAAATCTTCCATTCCTATGTTTACAAAACAGTGAAACAAAGTTATTAGTTTGAGAACAGATGGGTTTTTTCTTCCTGACCGAATTATTGTATTAATAAAACGTTGATGAAAGAGTAGTCTGAGTTAACAAAGTTGCACTTTCAACAAAATCTTGACCCCTTATCTGCAAGTTAGTTGTTTTCTAGGCCCACAATTCAAGTTGGCATCCTGAGATTTACATTATTACATGATATTGTATTTCCAGGAATCATTACAAGACACTGGGTCTGTAGAACTCGCCATTTGGGTCAGTGATACTGATGTCATAGCAAAATATATACATCATTATGATGCACTTTATACTGAAAAATGTTTGACATGTACAAGATTGTACAAGATTTTACAAAGGTTTGAAACGTTAAACATATTCAAACATTACCTCAGCTACTAGCCAGGCTGTACTGCTTTGTTCAGAAAAGTTTCAGAAAATTAGATATTTGTTGAGGCCACGAAGTAGCAAATATTCACTGTTGTGCATGTTGTGTAAATAGTAGGGAGTTGTGAGCCCCAATAGTCAGCTGGCATGACAACCATTGCATGTGCAGGACACGTCACTCAGAAAAACAACCCTATTCTTCAGCATATTTCTCCTTCTTGGTCGAGACATGTAACTCACGTAGACAGTGTTGTTTCAGTGCCAGGAACTCGCCCTAGAAAACTTACAAGACTCCCCTTCCTGCAGCAATCTGTTATTGACAATGTTATGGAGTGCACTTTTAGATCCATATGTCAATTTTTAAACATGTATTTTTCTTGTCATGTGATCTTTCAATTAAATGTTTGTGTATTCAGACATTGGATTTGTTATTTATTTGTATCTGTCACAACTTGTCTTGGTGCAGTGGATGCAAAATAAACAATTTTATAAACTGTCCAGGGTTGTGTTTGTATATGGAGGTGGCCTCCATTGTTACAGCATGCTGGGAGAAGATACCTTGATAGTCAAGAACCAGTTGGAAAATTAGACTGCCCTGGAAACTGCAGGTTAGCCAGATATACAGCATGGTTGCCCTGGAAACCGCAGGTTAGACAGATATACTGCATGGTTGCCCTGGAAACTGCAGGTTAGCCAGATATACTGCATGGTTGTCCTGGAAACTGCAAGTTAGCCAGATATACTGCTAGGGACAACAGGCACAGTCCTTAGGAGTGCAGTACAAGTTATCAACAAGCCAGTGGTCTCTATATGAGTGAGTGAGTATGGTTTTATGCCGCTTTTAGCAATATTCTAGCAATATCACGGCTGGGGACACCAGAAGTGGGCTTCAAGCATTGTACCCATGTCGGGGAATCGAACCCAGGTCTTCGGCGTGACAAGCGAACACTTTAACCACTAGGCTACCAGGCCACCCCGGTCTCTATATAAAGAGTGGTCTGTAGGGACATCATGACAGCCTGGCCAGAGGACAGGTCAACCAAATATACTTGCTGCACTTGTTTTCCGGTTGCTATCTCATCCAGCACTTGCAACAAATCAAGTGCAATAAATTACAAACTCATTTTGAAAATAATTCATTTTATTGCCATATCTCAGAAAAAAATCACTTGTAAATTTGAGAATGTTACAATAAACGGCTAACAGCAGTCAGGAGGAGCATGATGGGACATAAACATAGTGTACTGTCAGGACAAGCAACTGATACATCGTGATATGATCTTCATAGTGCAGAGACAATCCTGTACACACTAAATATGACCCTCACAGTGCCAGAATGTACAAACCCCCAAATATGATCCTCACACCTGATATGATCCTCAAGTCCCGGAATAAACACACCTCTCATATGATCCTCACAGTGCCGGAACGTACAAAGTACACGTCCTCAATATGATCCTCTCACTGCCGGAACGTACAAAGTACACGTCCTCAATATGATCCTCTCACTGCCGGAACATACAAAGTACACGTCCTCAATATGATCCTCTCACTTCCGGAACATACAAAGTACACGTCCTCAATATGATCCTCACACTGCCGGAACGTACAAAGTACACGTCCTCAATATGATCCTCTCACTTCCGGAACATACAAAGTACACGTCCTCAATATTATCCTCACACTGCCGGAACATACAAAGTACACGTCCTCAATATGATCCTCTCACTGCCGGAACATACAAAGTACACGTCCTCAATATGATCCTCACACTGACGGAACGTACAAAGTACATGTCCTCAATATGATCCTCACACTGCGGGAACATACAAAGTACATGTCCTCAATATGATCCTCACACTGCGGGAACATACAAAGTACATGTCCTCAATATGATCCTCACACTGCCGGAACGCACAAAGTACATGTCCTCAATATGATCCTCACACTGCGGGAACATACAAAGTACATGTCCTCAATATGATCCTCACACTGCCGGAACACACAAAGTACATGTCCTCAATAAGATCCTCACACTGCCGGAACATACAAAGTACATGTCCTCAATATGATCCTCTCACTGCCGGAACACACAAAGTACACGTCCTCAATACGATCCTCACACTGCCGGAACATTCAAAGTACACGTCCTCAATATGAGCCTCTCACTGCCGGAACATACAAAGTACACGCCCCCAATATGATCCCAACAGTGCCGGAACATACAAAGTACATGCCCCCAATATGATCCCAACAGTGCCAGAACATACAAAGTACACGCCCCTAACTTTATCCCAACAGTGCCGGAACATACAAAGTACATGCCCCCAATAAGATCCCAACAGTGCAAGAACATACAAAGTACACGCCCCTAACTTTATCCCAACAGTGCCGGAACATACAAAGTACATGCCCCCAATAAGATCCCAACAGTGCCAGAACATACAAAGTACACGCCCCCAATTTGATCCCAACAGTGCCAGAACATACAAAGTACATGCCCCTAATATGATATTCTCCAGACAACTTAACAAGAACGGACAAATATAAGCAGTTCCAGTCCTTAACTATAAAATGCAGACAAGTTGCATACCAGTGAATGTAGGTCACTGCAGTCGGACCTATGTTAACCTAACATGGCAACCTGTCTGGCAAACCAATGGTCGATAGTGAGGGTGTCACTCCAAGCCACAGTCATGGTCATCAATTGGTTCTTTTCCCAAGTACATCCAAGTTGAAGGAAGTCAACTTGATCTGCTTGGCCACCCCTCAGCCATCAAGGATACCAACGATGACCACGATCATCCCATTTGCCCCAACTCTGTATTGCTGACATGCAGTTTTCTTACAAGCCCTGGATGGTGATTATGCATTGGGTTTACTTGAGGACAAATGCCACAGTCAGAAATATATCAGCAATATCAGAGCAGCCTATGAATAACTAAACTAGGTCTGACCAGACAAACCAGAGATCGATGTTATGAGCAAGGCCCAACGTGGAGGCATGATGACACACAATCTACCACATCAACCGCCTGATCCCTTAGTCACCTCTTATGACAAGTATAGGTTGCTGGGGACCTGTTCTAACAAGGAACCCACAGGGCTGATGCTGAGTCAAGGACATATAACAGAAGTGATAAACTACTCTCAAGAACAGGCATTTTCTTCCATGACAGAGCTACTCGTCAGTGTTGGTCAGGATGACATTGCATGTTGGGTACAGAATGTGGGACTTCACTGTCGGCATAAAATACCGACCATGATATTAGAAAAAGGGGCTTAACCCAAGAAACATAAAACATTACATGTTCGTAAAACAACTCCATTTAGTCCCTGTTACATTATTTTCATGCTTAAAGCTTGAAAATAATATTGAAATTAAATTCAGAGTTTTCAACATAATTTGTTAAGTCGAAGCTTTTACATTAAAAAAAGTGTGGAATATTTCAAATAAAGCCTCTTTACCATGTGAAAACACCTAACAAATCTTGGTCCCATGGCAACATAAACAGATGGATAACAAAACAATTGAAATTGTTTCCCCGAACAAAACAACTAGGAAACAAATGGAAGAAATGATATGACTTTGTGCACAATTAAAAAAACACTAAAAAAACATAAAAGAGCATAGCAATGTAACAAAATGTTATATGCATAATTTCATCAAATAATTTACACAAACGTCACTGACAGTACAATTTATTGACATCCGATGTATGAGAACAAACTGATTAACAAGAAAGTGAAAAGAAACATAGATATCTTGCTGTACTGTAGTGAGCGGGCCCACCAATGGCCTCTCCCTGTACCAGGGAACACATGTAGATGACCTCTCCCTGTACCAGGGACCACATGTAGATGACCTCTCCCTGTACCAGGGACCACATGTAGATGACCTCTCCCTGTACCAGGGACCACATGCAGATGGCCTCTCCCTGTACCAGGGACCACATGCAGATGACCTCTCCCTGTACCAGGGACCACATGCAGATGACCTCTCCCTGTACCGGGGACCACATGCAGATGACCTCTCCCTGTACCAGGGACCACATGTAGATGACCTCTCCCTGTACCAGGGACCACATGTAGATGACCTCTCCCTGTACCAGGGACCAGATGCATATGACCTCTCCCTGTACCAGGGACCACATGCAGATGACCTCTCCCTGTACTAGGGACCACATGTAGATGACCTCTCCCTGTACCAGGGACCAGATGCATATGACCTCTCCCTGTACCAGGGACCACATGTAGATGACCTCTCCCTGTACCAGGGACCACATGTAGATGACCTCTCCCTGTACCAGGGACCACATGTAGATGACCTCTCCCTGTACCAGGGACCACATGCAGATGACCTCTCCCTGTACCAGGGACCACATGCAGATGACCTCTCCCTGTACCAGGGACCAGATGCATATGACCTCTCCCTGTACCAGGGACCACATGCAGATGACCTCTCCCTATACCAGGGACCAGATGCATATGACCTCTCCCTGTACCAGGGACCACATGCAGATGACCTCTCCCTGTACCAGGGACCAGATGCATATGACCTCTCCCTGTACCAGGGACCACATGTAGATGACCTCTCCCTGTACCAGGGACCAGATGCATATGACCTCTCCCTGTACCAGGGACCACATGTAGATGACCTCTCCCTGTACCAGGGACCAGATGCATATGACCTCTCCCTGTACCAGGGACCACATGCAGATGGCCTCTCCCTGTACCAGGGACCACATGCAGATGACCTCTACCTGTACCCTCAGTATCATCATGTGTGGTTTCTCCGCTGTGTCTCACACAGATTATGGGTGTCTGGTAGACGGTGACAGGATACTAAGATGAGGGCATATACAGGACAAGGCATGTCTTTATCATTGTTGATTCCTAGTAGCTAACAGATAGCTGCTCAAAGGTCCATATTATCATAACTGATTATTATCAGTACTGGGACATATTTGCTACTTAGACATATGGGTAGACAAATGTTTACTGGTCAATGTTGTTGGTCATATTCACTACTTAGTCATATCTGCTATTTAAATGGATGGCCCCTTTTCCATGACTAGAGCAACCAGCTTGTAAAAATGTTATATTTGGGATAACACTTTCTTAGTAAAGTACAGATTCTCGTACTTTTGTATTCTCAGGCATTGTGTATTCATAGCGTGCCAATTTACACTTGTCAGAGGGGTACTCAAAGTACGTGATCTAGACTACCAGTTGTCGGACTTTCATTTTTGTGGAAGCCTCAGTGGCTGAGTGGGTTAGATCGCTGACTTTGTGTGCTGGCGATTAGGTGCCTCACTCTGGCAAGTGTGGGATCGAATCCCAGACTGGACTCAACCCCAAAAAAGTACGAGAATCTGTACTTTACTAAGAAAGTGTTATCCCAAATATAACATTTGTTACATCTGACCACTTTCTAAATGGCATTGTGTATTCACAGCAACCAGCTTGACCTTCTGTAACCTGAACAAGAATATTGGATGTGAGTTCTGCTATCTATGAAATAGGATGGTGTTCGTGGTGACTGATAACTAGCAATGACAGACAGGCGAGGGTGTACACCATGCCAAAAAAGGACGGCCTCTGGTATGTATATATACTGAACGAAAAAATGCTAGGGATCGTGAATAGATTTTTGGAAATTCTTTTGTAGTGAGCACACAATTTTCAGTATATGCTACTTGTAGACTTGCACCTCAAGTGTGATGAACCTAGTTATGATAGCTGCATACATCTTCAATGGAAATAACCAGAACTCACCACGTAGATACGAAGTACATATCCCACATGAGGATGGAGGAGTCGGGGTGATGGCGTGTGTGTAGTCGTAATTGTCACTCAATGTATGGATGAGTTAGCAGAGAGGTGAGGAGCAGGATTTGGCTTGACTAATGTTCACTTCAGAAGTGGAGATAGAATCAGGGTCAGTTTCAGTTGAAGTAAAGGTCAGGGTTGAGTCTTAGTGTAAGGGTCAAGGTCAGTGATGAAATTAATGGTAAGGGTCAAGGTTAGTGATAGTGTTCGAGCCAAGGTCAGCAATGAGATTAATGGTAATGTCAAGGTTAGTGATAGTGTTCGAGCCAAGGTCAGTGGTTAAGGTAAAGGTCAATCATAAAGTTAGGGTAAAGTTCCAGATTACAGGGTTGTGGAGGTAGAATTACTTGTCAGGTAGTCAGTTCATGTGCTATTCTTATGTCTAGGACATCTGACTAGGGGTAGGCATCAGGGAGATATGCATTTGCTGAAGGTCAAACTGATAAGCAAAGGTGTTAATCATTACAAAAGAATGCGCAATGCTCCATAAACATAGCATGATATAGAGAATATTTATACTGTGAACACAAAGGGAGCAAGTTCAGTTGTCACAGAGTAACACACACAGACAGACAGACGTCAATGTTCACACCACTCTGTGGCAAGAGTACGTGTGTCTGCTTATCAAGCACATGTTCAGCCAAACCAAGGCCCTTGTAAGCAGTTCAACAATTGACAGGCAACCATCACATCTCTACAATAAATGTTGTCCTTATTATGTATCACCATGTTCAAAAAGTCATTCTCCTTATTATGACATACTAGAAATACTATTCACAAAATTCTTACTTCTTACATCAGCACAACATATACACCACGAAATTTCCAGCTGCACCAAAATTGCACTTAGTATTTCAAAATCACATGATGATTTAGTTGCATTCAGTCATTGGAATTATTATGACTATTTATTCGTGCAAACATACCCCTTAAGAGTGTTTACAAGAACAGGCTTCAGTTGGAATAGGACGTTTAGAGTTGGCTGAAAGAAACAAGGGTGTATAATATACAAACAAAATATATATATATTTATATAGGTCACCATGGAAACGATGCAGCCATGGCAACACATTTCTTAATTCACATGAAAATATTTACATATTCTGTATCACACTGAGGATGACAAAATAGTTTAAAAATAGTTTCATCAATATGATAACAGTGTGTAAATAGTACATATAATTTGCATATGAATCATTTGAAATCAACACAATCACTGGATACGTGTAACATGACCTGGATCGGTCTAGCTTCACAATGTACATAGATCAACGCTTAAACATTCCTTGTTGAAAGATGGCGTTCCCAATATCTATGTACAGAACAACAAATCTATGTACAGTAAATGTACATTTAAACTGAATTCAAATGATAATTCATCTTGTAGAAATGGCTGTTATATCTTCTATTTCCTTCAATGAAATGTACGCCAACAGGTGCGATTGGTGACAGCATGAATGATGTCTTCAAATATTCTCAAGCATGATAAAGATTGGTAACTTTCAAAGAATTAACGGAAACATTTTTTAATAATTTACCCAGTGACCATATACCGATATATGTCCTCTGATTTACCTCAGTTCAATTTATAAAATATAATTCATATTGCTCTCAAGACATGGATAGTATAAGATATTCAAATTATGTGTGATTTTTGCCAACTTATAACTGCTGATTAGCACAAATAATGTCCGAGGTTTTCTTATGAAACAAATATGAAGTATCAGCTAAGGACCACTGATATGAGCATGAAGAATCCTTCAGAGGCCTACTGTAACGTGTGAATACTATTACCACACAATGGAGTCATATATCCAAGTCATTATGCACATAGACTACGCTTCCTGTTTCTACTGGGAGAAGTGACGTGGATTACATTCCGTGACAACCCACAGTGGTGTATTGACACATCACACATACAACTACAAGACTGCCCACAGTGATATATACACACATAAACATAAAATCCATGATAACCCACAGTGATACACCGGTATACACACATAAACATGTGACTACCTTGTAGCTCTCGCCTGTAAAGTCATGACAATATATGTACAAATATGGATGTGAATGAAATAGAAAACAACATTCCCAGAAATTTTATAAAACTTTGCAAAAGTTCATTTGAAATCCTATAAGATGCTTCCAGCATTAAACAAAAACAATAGTCCCTTACATAGTTCAATGAAAGTAGGAAGCTAAGTGAATACATGAAATAAACACATTGACAAAGTTACACCTCAGCTTCCACAATGATGCAGAAAAAACAAATAATTAAAATAAATCTATCAATTTATATTGTATTTCTTTCCCCAATTTAAAAAAATGCAACTCACGAAAAAACAATTTTTTTATAAAAAAAAGGATTGTTATTTTCTGTTTTATTCACAATCCTAGGCAATATTAACATTCATGTTAAGTCATAGTGATTTGGCACTTATCAAGTGTAGAAGAATTCACTGATACATCAGGGTTATGGGCGGTCGGGGAACAAGAGGTCCGACATCCTGGTTAGACTGTGACCTACCCAGACACGGTGAAATGAATAATGTTAGCCACAGGGTCATACCGTCAACATTTGTTTGAATTTTTGGGGTGTGTAGGTCTTTTTAGACTCTTGCCACAAAACATTTTAATGCTTCATTATTAACTTGCCATCATCTTACTCGGACATTAAACGTGTATATAGTTGCTATATATTAGGTGACCTAACAGTGGTGTGGGTGCTTGGCAACAAGTCTTGACCCAAACCCTAGTACAACACGTTACAAAATAACTAAAAAACTAAATTGACATTGTAGATAAGGGGAGGTCACTCTCAACAACAATATTCAAAGCAAATTTCACACTGTTATAAAATAAGGAAACATTTACACACAAAAAAACAATAAAAGATATGTTGATATTTTTTGAGAAATGTTTATCATAGGTAGCTGGTTTGTTTCCAAAAGCAAGTGTTATATTACAACTATAAAAGTTTTCTTCGTAGCCATGGCAATCAACACTTCTTAGTAACACTCGGATGTGAACTGAAGCTATCACTGCTCCTGTGATATGCAAGGAATAAAGAAAATATGAATTTGTTTCTCTCAAACATACAGAAATGATTATTAAAAAAATTAGTTGCATTCTGAAGAGATCAAGCCTAAAAAAATATCCAGTTGTTAACAACTGAATAGCACATTATGACAATTACACAGTTGCTAAATGTTAAACACCTAGTTAAAAATCAAATGCATTGTGCAAGTGATGTGATTGTTCATAATATACATGTCCACACAGTTGAGTACTGATTACCGGTACTGTTCAATACTTTTAAAACAAGTTAAGGACCACCCAATCCCATGACAGATGAACTATAGTAATATGAAAGAATCGGGGAGTCCTTAACCTTTTTTAGAAGTATATATCAGACTACCAGCTATTACAATGGTAGATGCCGGTTCTCCACATAATAATACTGCCACTCTGCATCTAAGTTACCTACTGCCTACATTCTAGCTCAGTTTATCAATAATCAATTAACCATCCATTTTTCTATCTTTACTTAGCTTTTATTGACAATTTCAAGTACTAGAAGATAACAAGTTCCTGAAATCCTGCAAATGGTATGGTCTTCAGAGAAAGCATTTTGAATGAGATTTATGAAGATGATAGTTGTTTTCCATGCAGCTTTTAACAGTACCTCTGTTTGATCATGTAGTGGTCAGTTTGACAAACGATGGCTGGTTTCAGGTCAGGAGGCAGCCTTGAGCCAGGTCAGTTTGATGTACTCGGAATATAAGTACCTAAATGATGACCCTCACTATGTTTAGACACAGACTCAAGGTTACACAGAACACAGCAACTGTGTGAGGGCATTATTGAAACTGGCCACCATCTTGTGCAGCCATCTTGTCTAACGCAAGCCGAGTCAACAGGTGTATCTACAGGTGGATTCGGGGGGGGGGGGGGGGGTTCAGTCAGTTCATACCTGTTCTCTTGGGGATTACAAAAATACCCCTAAAAAGTATCTGATTTTTATTTTACTTCACATTTTTCAAAATTTAAGATCCGCCCTCCAAAGAAAGTGTAACAGAAGCAGCATTTCGGTTGAGTATGCATGTTAACACCAAAACTGAAGGATTATCAAATTGTTAAAAGCCAATAGTTTCCAGTTACATCCGGAATACAAAAACATATAACAATAATATGCATTAGAAGTAGAACATTATTTTGGCATAATCATACACACATTATATGCCTTACTGATGGAGTGCTTGGACATAACGTCCGATGGAAATTGATGGAATCTGGAGTGAAGAAGATGGAGACGCTCAGCAGACAGCAAAAACTTGAATACACAACTTAAACATTTCAACAGCCACAAGGAATACAATCACCAACACTTACATGTCATATAAGATTGCTGCTGCCTTTAAGCATCTATATTTTCGAAAACACTTAGAGTGCAATTTATTCTCTAACATTAAGCAACCATAGCTTGCTTTCGTTTATTTTCAACAAATTTAACATTATCACTGATTTCATGTGGTACATGAGAAAACATCATTGAAACATCATGTGGTTTGAAACCAGATCATACATAAAAATGATTATGATCAACATTATGTTTTGGTAAAATTATATTATTTACAATTAAATACATCTCTCTGCTATTGACATATGTAAAGAGTATGATATGTACACTGTGTCATTATGCACTGCTTGTGAATAAACCCTGGGTTTCGTCTGTGCACATTTCACAGTATCACTTGCAGACAGGTGATGAATGTATCCATCCATCACTGTCAACACTGCGTCTCAAAATGAACCAGCTGCTTCATACGTCATCGTCATATACTAAAATGTGGTTGGTCCTTGAACATATAAGTTTCCAGAGTTATCTCCCTTCAATTCTCTGCAGAACTATTAATGTGGTCATGAACAGGAAAAATACATTGATAACGTCTATCGTAAAATGTAGGTAAAAAATATTGATGAATGTTATTGAGTTTGTCAATTTAATCCTCCTTAATCACCCATATATAGTCGTCTTTTGGAGTGGGAGCCAAAGGGAGACAACTACTCCTGCATATATATATATAATTCCAACATATGTCTTACATGAAGCACCAACTCCAAGAACCAATCATTATCAATTAACCAGTGCACAGTCAAATATATACATCAAGGCAAATGTCATCTAAAAATATTGTTCTTGTCATGAAGGATATCACAACCTTTCCACGAAGATAATGTTATCAGATACTCCATTTCCAGAGGCTCCAGCAGCCTTATGACTGTCATGGCGAGTTATCTTTGTTAGCGTGACTGGTTCCTTTTTCCGCTCTATAGCCCGTTCTCGCATGTTTATACCACTGGTAATAAGATTGCCAAAGCCCTCTTGGTGAGCAAACGCATAGCCTGACCGTAGTGACCTTGTGCTTCGACGCATTGTGGATTGTCTTCGCACATGAAGGTCACGTGATCGTGACTTAACCTTCTTGATTCGCTGTCGTAGCCGCACCCTATCAGCAAGGGATGGAGTAATGTTCGTCTGGTAGAACCGGTAGGCCACGACAGGCACTATGAGCACTGTACAAGTCAGAAGGAGGCTGAACCAGAACTGGGCGGAGGAGAACACCTCGAAGGCCACACCCACATATGAGTAGTTGATGCCTTCGGAGTAGAAGGCGAGGATGAAGCAGAAATAGTAGATGATGCTGCCCCATACCACGAAGTGGTTGAACCCGGTCCAGTACGAAGTGTCAAGTGCACACTGAAACACAGATGGAAAAAGTCAGAGTTGATATATCTAAAGGTGGGGGATTCAAGATGCACAATGAATTCTCACATATTTCCATATGGCATATTTCCAGTATATATGCCTACTATAACTTGTACACAAACGTGGTAGATTATACACTTTGAACAATAAAGGATTCAGATCACAACCTGGCACATAAAAGGGAAGCAATTCTGCGTAAGATGTCTTAGAACAGCAGCTTCTGCAAGCCCCTTACCCCAGCACTGAGGCATAACTTACCAGCAAAATTGACAGGCTTGGATCCCAAGGCAACATTGGTTTGATTGGTTTGTTGTTTAACGCAGCACTCAGCAATATTCCAGCTATATGACCGCGGTCTGTAAATAATCGAGTCTGGACCAGACAATCCAGTGATTAATATCATGATCATCGATCCACGCAATTGGGATCGATGACATGCATCAACCAAGTCAGCGAGCCTGACCACCCGATCCTGTTAGTCGCCTTTTACGACAAGCATAGTCACCTTTTACGGCAAGCATGGGTTGCTGAAGACCTATTCTACCCCAGCATCTTCAAGGGTCCCCAAGGCAACAACATGAGTGAGTGAGTTAGTGTTTTGGGTTTAATTCTGCCAATATATTTTTCCAGTTAAACTTGCCAGCTTAATGTGGGAGGAAAGCCCAAAGTGATGCAGGTCTCAAGACTTTAATCACTTTGGTGAAACCCAAAGGCACGGCAAAGGTGCTTAAAAACCTAGAAACAATCGGGGCAAACCTGGACTCAATTAGGCCCAAGGGATGCAACTATGCACATCAAATTGCAGCATTGTAGATGACTTGACCCCCTTGCCTTCACATATTAAGTAACTACAGTGTGTTTCACAAGTTCCTACCCTGACATTGACAGCAACGACGAGGATGGAGGACACGACACAGCCGAAGGACTGCTGGTCCACTTCTGACTTGCCATCTGGACCGATGGCGTAGTTGAAGGCACCATATGGTATAAAGAACAACACAAGGGAGGTAATGATGCCTTCCAGGGTACTGTACATAAATGTCTTCTTGTTGAAGAGTGCGTCTTTCAGCCCCGGGGCGTACAGCTTCGGGTAGCGGATGGAGTAGTCGTCATTCACATCCTGGAGGACACAATACACATCGAATCAAGCAGTAGCATCAACCGAAGTGGTTGCTTGTCCAACAGACTCATCTACATGAACACTGAGGATGCCAAGCTGAATTTGAGTCTCAATACAAACATTTGAGTGAGTGAGTGAATGAGTTTGGTTTAACGCCGCTTTTAACAGTATTCCAGTTATATCGCTGCGTGTCAGCTTAATGTGGGAGGAAAGCCTGAAGTGATGCAGGACTCAGATGATTACCACTTCGCTGAAACCCACGAGCACGGGTATGTTGCTGACAAACCTAGAAACATAATCGGGGCGAACCGGGATTCGAACCCACAATCATAGGTATCTGTGTGCCCAAGGGATGCACCTCTGCACAGCGAATCACAGCGCCTTAGACAACTTGGCCACCCGTGCCCGCAGAAACATTGGACTTACATGGGATAGTTATATCCTTTTTCATACTCAAAATTTGATCGGAAAATATTTTAGACACCATTGCTGGAATCATCCATGAAAAACATCAGCTCAATAAGTCTTTTTTAGAGGAGATATTGAAAATGTATCAGTTTACAGAAGTAATGATGGACAGACAGATGAAGGAGAAAGTGCCAACACATAAGTACATGAACTTGCGAATCTGGTCAGTTTTGAAATAATCAAAATTTCAAAAAATATTTTTTTGAAAAGTTTACATAAACTTTCAGGATCAGTACAACATCAGGTGAGATGAGTGAGTAAGAGAGTGACTGAGTTTGGTTTTATGTTGCTTTTTGCAATGTTCAAGCAATATCATGGCGGGGAAACCAGAAATGGGCTTCACACATTGTACCCATGTCGGGAATTGAACCCAGGTCTCCTGTATGACGAGCGAATGCTATAACCACTAGGCTACTTAACTGCCCCTCAGGTGAGATGAAGCCACTGGATTTCTGAACATTAAATGAACAAGGTTATATTGTGCTTGACTTACCTGGTCGAAGATACCGAGGACCAGGATGGGGAGCGATGTGTAGAACAAGTTGTACAAGGAAATGAAGTAGGGGTCGTACAACGTCTGAAATTGAAGATGTGCAGAAACAATGTCAGTTGTCAACTACCAATCTCCAGTATAAGGACTTTATCAAATCAAGAATGAGCCATTGCATATGAGACAAAACTTTAAGCACAGCATGAATTTACATTTACTGAAACTGAAAAAAAAACCTGAAAAAATGTCAAAAGTACTCACCTGAGCGGAGAAGCCACAAAAGAAGGCATACCAGAAATGGCACAATGTGAATGCAAAGTTTTTGTAAAAGAAATATCGCAGAAATTTGCACATTCTGAGGTAGGACCAACGGCCATGGACGAGCAGCAACCTTTCCAAGTAGCGGAACTGAGCCATGGAGAAATCACTGGCCAACACGGCCTGCATGCCCTCTTGACCACTGATGCCGACACCGATGTGTGCCACTGCGGACAGATGGAACATACACTGAGAAACTGTACAAGGAGCTGAAGACCTAAACTGTAGACAGAGGGTGCGGAACACACATAGCAGTCGGTCATAAACTGTACACAGGAAAAGGAATGTGAGGATGGGAGAGTTTGAGTGAGTGAGTGGACCAACCTAAAGCAACACCATCAATTGCCTTCAAAGGTGGGAACCAAAGCATAGTTTCAGGGACAGATCACCCACTATACTACTTCGCAATGTGGTAAGGTTTAAGAAGGTGGCTCACTGACTTGGTGTATTCATTTAGATTATGGCTGATACAGCCACTTCACTGTGTGTCGGGCAACAAACGTTCTTAGAGAAAACAACAAGGCAGACTGAAAGTTTAAAATTGGCTGAATTGTGAATATACTTGAACACTACATGTATTTCCAGTTTAATGCAAATCTGCTTCAGTTACGATGTGAAACATACTTTTGATCATGCTGACATCATTAGCCCCATCTCCTATTGCAAGCGTCACTGATTTCTTGTGTTTCTTGACCAGGTCGACCACGAGGGCCTTCTGGAGCGGCGTGACCCTGCAGCAGATGACGGCCTTGCAGCTTGACCCCAGGTCCAGCAGCAACCTCTCCAGCTCCGGCTTTAGGGCATACGCCTGTCAGACACAAACATCACATAATGTACAACACTCGCGGTAATACACACACCGGCTTCAGGGCATATGCCTGTCAGACACAAACATCACATGACGTACATCACTGGCGGTAATATACAGTCCGGCTTCAGGGCATACGCCTGTCAGACACAAACATCACATGACTTACATCACTGGCGGTAATACAAACTCTGGCTTCAGGGCATACGCCTGTCAGACACAAATATCACATGACGTACATCACTGGCAGTAATACACACTCAGGCTTCAGGGCATACGCCTGTCAGACACAAACATCACATGACGTACATCACTGGCGGTAATACACACCCCGGCTTCAGGGCATATGCCTGTCAGACACAAACATCACATGACGTACATCACTGGCGGTAATACACACTCCGGCTTCAGGGCATACGCCTGTCAGACACAAACATCACATGACGTACATCACTGGTGGTAATATACAGTCCGGCTTCAGGGCATACGCCTGTCAGACACAAACATCACATGACGTACATCACTGGCGGTAATACAAACTCCGGCTTCAGGGCATACGCCTGTCAGACAAAAACATCACATGACGTACATCACTGGCAGTAATACACACTCAGGCTTCAGGGCATACGCCTGTCAGACACAAACATCACATGACGTACATCACTGGCGGTAATACACACACTGGCTTCAGGGCATACGCCTGTCAGACACAAACATCACATGACGTACATCACTGGCGGTAATACACACACTGGCTTCAGGGCATACGCCTGTCAGACACAAACATCACATGACGTACATCACCGGCGGTAATACACACACCGGCTTCAGTGCATACGCCTGTCAGACACAAACATCACATAACGTACATCACTGGCGGTAATACACACACCGGCTTCAGGGCATACGCCTGTCAGACACAAACATCACATGACGTACATCACTGGTGGTAATATACAGTCCGGCTTCAGGGCATACGCCTGTCAGACACAAACATCACATGACGTACATCACTGGTGGTAATATACAGTCCGGCTTCAGGGCATACGCCTGTCAGACACAAACATCACATGACGTACATCACTGGCGGTAATACAAACTCCGGCTTCAGGGCATACGCCTGTCAGACAAAAACATCACATGACGTACATCACTGGCAGTAATACACACTCAGGCTTCAGGGCATACGCCTGTCAGACACAAACATCACATGACGTACATCACTGGCGGTAATACACACACTGGCTTCAGGGCATACGCCTGTCAGACACAAACATCACATGACGTACATCACTGGCGGTAATACACACACCGGCTTCAGGGCATACGCCTGTCAGACACAAACATCACATAACGTACATCACTGGCGGTAATACACACACTGGCTTCAGGGCATACGCCTGTCAGACACAAACATCACATGACGTACATCACTGGTGGTAATATACAGTCCGGCTTCAGGGCATACGCCTGTCAGACACAAACATCACATGACGTACATCACTGGCGGTAATACACACTCCGGCTTCAGGGCATACGCCTGTCAGACACAAACATCACATGACGTACATCACTGGCGGTAATACACACTGCAGGGCAGGGCAGATACAAGAAGTGAAACAAAAGGTGCCCGGACAATGTGTTTTGTAAGTAGTGAGTGAGTGAATGTTGTTTTACGCCGTAGTCAGACATAATCAAAGCACTACTATTACCCCTGTCACTGGATCAGTGTGCACTCAGCAATCATTCTCAGCTCCCAGGGGAGTATACAACCAAAGCTGCCTGTAAGGTGCAAGAAGGTTAACAACCACATTGTCATCTTCTCCTACCGGGTACCCATTCACTGCTTGATGAACAGAGGCACATTTGAACAAAGTCACTTGCCGAAGGAGACACAAACTGTGTTACATGTGCTTCAATGTGGAGCAGGACTGAAGCCCAAGAAACTCTCAGGAGCCAAGCTGCAGAACACGGTCACCCGTCCAAGGACTCTCCGTGACCGACGTTGCTTAACCTGATTTGTGACCTGTGCCTTATCACAGTGAATTGTGAATCAGTGGAAGAGCCAAACCAGTGGTTGACAGCATGAACAAGGATCCAAGGAATGATGATCAACTATTTACCTGGGCCCACTTGCACAAAACGATCTTTGCGCTAAGACTATTGTAAGCCTATGTTAAAGTATGGGAGTTAAGATCATCTTAGCGCTAAGATCGCTTTGTGCATGTGGGCCCAGGTCATACATTGTGACCACTTCCTCATGTTCCACTATCGTAATATGATAGTGGTCCTTAACTTCTTTTGAGTAGAATACATAGGATACATAGTGTGTTGTCATCTTCCACAACACCCTTTTTAGATATCTAATTCATATTCTGGACTATAAAATAGCTAGTAATACACCAAGTCTAACAGCACAAATCCTCTCCTTACCAGACTGTGACCATTTATGACCACTGCAAATTCCCCATATTCATCCGAGATGGCAACATTTCCATTGGCTCCGTTATAGTGGGCTCCCTGGCCGTTGGCGATGATGACTCCGTCGTTTGGCTTGCCGGTCTTCATCTTGTCAATGTCTTCCAGGGCCTTCCGCAGCTGGGCTTCCACCTCCTCGAAGGAGTCGGCATCAATGATGAATGGCTCCTCCATCTCCTCCGTCAACAGGCGGCAAGAGTAACCAATATTGATGGCCGTCTCTGAAACACGGCGCACACTTCTGCTGAAGATTTTAGCACAGAACAATTCTTACACTGAATTATACTAATTAAGTAGAGAAGTCAATTGTCCTCTATGTGACCTTGTAAAGTAAGAGGACATACCCTGTTTGTCTCCAGTGAGGACCCAGATCTTGATGCCAGCCAAGGCCAGGTTGGCAATGGTCTCTGGCACACCGTCCTGTAGTTTATCCTCAATGGCCGAGGCACCAATGAGACACAGGTTCTGCTCAATCTCCTCGAATACATCATCCATCTTGTCATCTCTGTTGTCCAAGGTTGTACTGAAGAACAAAGAGGAAGGTGTTCTCCAGTCGGGCTAGATCTCATAAATAGGGATGTTGTAATGTCCCCAGGATTTTATATGATATCCCCGGGATTTATATGATATCCCTGGGATTTTATATGATATCCCCAGGATTTTATAGGATATCCCAGGGATTTTATAGGATATTCAAGTCATATTTGCTATATAATATGTTATAATAACCCTGGGATTTTATTAATACAACTTTTTACAGTTTAGATTGTAACATATGAATGTTTCTCACAAAAAAAACTATTTTGCATTTGAACACAATGTAATGAAATGTAAAATCAAATGAAAAATGTTTTCTTCATAATCCCGAGCCTCGAACACGCAACCTTCGTGGTACACTCACTGGACTAGAGACGCGCTGATGAATCAGAATGCTTTTAAGAATGTCTTTTTCATACGCCAGCAACAGACATTTATGCCTGTTTCCTAAGATTCATGGAAAGTATGTTTGAAAAAAAAAAATGTTGATAAATGCTGTTTAAAGTTTCTTTTCTCGGTTTAAAAGTTAGTTACACTTTCCCTGTTTTTTTTTTTTATGAGATTTAAAACCCTCATCCTCTGGATAATACCTCAGGGTTGACACTTTTTATCACTTGGATTCGGGTTTAAATCTCACAAAAACCATCTGACGTATTTTATCCTACACACAACTGAAATGTTTTTGGTTTTCAGACGGCAGACTGATGAAAGAAATTCTCTGTGTGGGAGACCAAGAAATGGGATACAAATTGTACCCAAGTGATGGATTATCCAGGTAGATAGATCGTAACATTGCTACTGCAAATATCGTATTGAAAACATCAAAAGTGGTGTGTAAATAAGGTTTAAGTGTGCTTTTGTCCTGTCTATCAATTTCAAAGGCTGAAATGAACATACAGCAGTGGGTGAGCCTTATATGCAGAGGCTCCACATATGGTCTTGTTTGAGGAAAATACCTCCATAATTACATGCTTGATCACACAAGCTACCTCCCAAATTACACTTACCCAGAGAGACACATACACACACATACACACACATACACACACTAACACACACATACACACACTTACACACACATACACACACTAACACACACATACACACACTAACACACACATACACACACTTACACACACTTACACACACATACACACACTTACACACACATACACACACTAACACACACTTACACACACATACACACACTAACACACACTTACACACACATACACACACTAACACACATACACACACTAACACACACTTACACACACATACACACACTAACACACACATACACACACATACACACACTTACACACACATACACACACATACACACACTAACACACACATACACACAGCTTCAATCTCACTGCCTCACCTGGCTTCATGATATTTCTTCCTCCATTCCACATAAAAGTTTTCGTCGATGACCTTGGATGCACAGCACAGCGTCCTCAGACCTATCTGAGCAAACTCCTGCAACAGAAGGGCAGAATGTCACTAATAACTTGGGACTGTTTAAAGCATCAAATGTAGGAAGTGAAGTGAATGTTTTTCACAACCCCAGTCATCAATCCTTCAGCTATAACACAGCAGCATTAAAATAATAAGACTTTGGAACAGCCAACGACTGCATGTATTAGAACTTTGGTACAACAATGTCACAGAGTCACATATGCTAAACACCCATTGTCCATGCCAGCTGTGCTTAACAACAAATATGTGATGGGTACCAGAAAACATGTGACGAAGTACAAGAAGACACACGTGACGAGGTACCAGTACACACACCTGACGAGGAACAAGAACAAACATGTGACGAGATACCACAACACACACGTGATGAGGTACAAGAACACACGTGACGAGGTACCAAAACACACACGTGATGAGGTACCAGAACACATAGATGTGACGAGGTACCACAACACACGTGACGAGGTACCACAACACACGTGACGAGGTACCAGAAGACATGTGACGAGGTACCAGAACACACATAAGACAAGGTATGACAACTCACACGTGACGAGGTACCACAACACACACGTGATGAGGTACCAGAAGACATGTGACGAGGTACCACAACACACATGTGACGAGGTACCACAACACACGTGACGAGGAACCACAACACACATGTGACGAGGTACCACAACACACAAGTGACGAGGTACCACAACACACGTGAAGAGGTACCAGAAGACATGTGACGAGGTACCAGAACACACATGTGACGAGGTACCACAACACACACGTGACGAGGTACCACAACACATACGTGACGAGGTACCATGAGACATGTGACGAGGTACCAGAACACACATGTGACAAGGTATCACAACACACACGTGACGAGGTACCACAACACACACATGACGAGGTACCACAACACACAAGGCGAGGTACCAGAACACACATGTGACGAGGTACCAGAAGACATGTGACGAGGTACCAGAACACACACGTACATACACGACGAGGTACCAGAAGACACTCGTGACGAGGTACCAGAACACACACGTGACGAGGTACCAGGAGACACTCGTGACGAGGTACCAGAACACACACGTACACACATGACGAGGTACCAGAACACACACATGACAAGGTACCAGAACACACACGTACACACACAACGAGGTACCAGAACACACACGTGACGAGGTACCATAAGACACACGACGAGGTACCAGAACACACACGTGACGAGGTACCAGGAAACACTCGTGACGAGGTACCAGAACACACACGTACACACACGAGGAGGTACCACAACACACACATGACAAGGTACCAGAACACACACGTACACACACGACGAGGTACCAGAACACACACGTGACGAGGTACCACAACACACACGACGAGGTACCAGAACACACACGTGACGAGGTACCAGAAGACATGTGACAAGGTACCAGGAGACACTCATGACGAGGTACCAGAACACACACGTGACGAGGTACCACAACACACACATGACAAGGTACCAGAACACACACGTACACACACGACGAGGTACCAGAACACACACGTGACGAGGTACCACAACACACACGACGAGGTACCAGAACACACACGTGACGAGGTACCAGAAGACATGTGACAAGGTACCAGGAGACACTCATGACGAGGTACCAGAACACACACGTGACGAGGTACCACAACACACACATGACAAGGTACCAGAACACACATGTGAACAAAATTCTTTAGTCAAAGGTGTGGTCTTTAGCAAATGTCGAGTGGTATATTAGACATCAATAGAAATGTGCAATATGGAAGGCAAGGGAACTCACATTAAGGTGGTGTGAAGTAATTTCCTTCAGTTCAGCACAGGATCTGTCCAAACGCTCGAATATGACTGAGTCAGCCCCCTTACAGTACAGCGTGATGACACCGTCCTTCTTCACGATCACCTGGAGAACAGACAAACTCACAACCATCACATGGACAAGCAGCTGTTATATCTCACTCACAAATGACTTTTCAAAATGACAGCCATTTGTAGGAACCAATATTTCATTATTTTGTTAGCTCAAACATCTTTGTCCCCATGACAGAGTTGTGTATCTGGTATAGTGTTGTTCTTACCGACATCCTCTTACGGAAGTTGTTGAAGTCCAGAATGCACAGCAGATCGTACACTTCCTGTTTGCCCTGGACTTCTATTGTGATGGTGTTTGGTGTCCGAGACTACAAGCATAGAGACAGGGGTCATGTAAACCTCAGGATATCTGTTGTATGCTACATGCATTATGCAAAGTTAGAGAAGCTCCCAAAGACGAGACCCAGCCTTCCCAAATATAAGCTTAGAATTTGTATATTTAGGTTTACAATATTTTTTGATGAAAACTACAAAATCTAGCATTTGGTAACTTTCAAACCAATTTCTTAAAGTTTTGCTCAATTCTTAAATTATGCATAAATTTTTGCCCTCCCCCCCCCCCCCCCCCCCCCCCCCCCACCCACCCACCCACCCACCCACCCAAAGGGCCCTCTTATCTTACCGTGTCCTTTAACCTGTAGTATGCACAATATTTTAGTGGTGAACACGTTTGCAGTATAAAGAAACAAATGCTTTTCAGGTTCGTTTATTTTCACATGAATTTTAGGGGTTGTTCAAAATTGAGGACCAAAGTTAAAAGAGTTATCACCGAATGTGTCAATGTGACTTTGACAATGCCAACTTATCTCCCTGCTACTCATCCCCTAGTTGGCTACAGCTGTATTTACCTGACCCCCTGCTACACATCCCCTAGTTGGCTACAGCTGTATTTACCTGACCCCCTGCTACACATCCCCTAGTTGGCTACAGCTGTATTTACCTGACCCCCTGCTACACATCCCCTAGTTGGCTACAGCTGTATTTACCTGACCGCCCTGCTACACATCCCCCAGTTGGCTACAGCTGTACTTACCTTGAAGACATAACCAAAATTCCGTGCAGCTGACACCAGAGCACCTTCATCAGGGGACTGAGCCTGGTACTCCAGGTTACCTGCAACAATGCATGTTGAATGTACATGGAACAAGCACTGGTAAACAGGCAGATATCAGGCATTAGTTGGACATGTTGAAGGGTTCCAGGGCAACATACCTCGCAGTAGTGGAGGGATCCCTTAGAACATACAACATGCCACAGTCGGCAATGTTTAGGCTGTATTAAAGTGGCCTGAGTGTAATAGTCTACTGAGGACAGCGCAATGGTAAATAACACATGCAATGATCATGCAATCGAAGTACCACAACACGTGCAGCCATGTCACTTAGTCTGTCTCCAAGACCCTAGAAAATATATTAAGAAACAAACCCAACTAAGTCCAGAACGATTTGGTAAGTCTGGATTGCCTCAGCCCTGAAATTAAGCAATGTTTTGGGTTCCATTTGGCTGTAGATATCTGTAGATACATATTCTTAAATAAAATAAGTACCATATCACTCAAGTCTTCAAAGGGCATTTAGAAGAGATATACATAAGAGAGAGAATCTATTAATGTCAACTTCTTTATTCTGAGGAACACAAGGTTTCAGAGTATATATTTACTCTTTCTTCAGGTGAATGGATGAAGTCCATTGTCCAGCTGACATCCACAAAATCTCACTCGTACCATATCACTGACCAGCTGACCGCCATGTCACGCGGCCCGAACAACAACATACTATTTCTGGATCCCCTCTCGTGACGCTGCCTCAAGGTGAAGGCTACAAAATGTGGTGCTGCACCTACCACTCTCCTTGGTCTCCGGCATGACTGTATGACACAGACTCAGCAGTCTGAAGAACTCCTCCACCTGGTGGTTGCCTCCCTTGGTGTGCTCCAGCAGACGCGAGTCGTAAAAATCAAATGACTTCTCTGCATATTCATTCCCACTGAAATCTACTTTGGGAGTTCTCTGGAATAGTGGAACAGATTCAGTGTGACTACTTCAACATCATTGAAAACATTTCAACAATCAAAAGGTATAAGACATTTTCATCTGGTTCCTAAAAGTCAGTGAGTCAAGATTTATCCACTTTGAGCAAATTTCTAGCCACATCACAGTGGGGTCAGCAGAAACCATCTCCCCATATATTACCCATGTGGGAACAGAACCCAGGGCTTCAGCATCAGCAGCAACACTTGGACCACTGGACTACTCCACAACCAAGTTAAACCATCATCCTACTGGAACATTTTGAATGCCAACACTATGACCAGACAACTCAATGTGTGTATAGCCTATCGGGATGATAACTGAGTGATGTGACACCCGTTTCAATATTTCATAAAAACATAATGTTTTGGCAATGATTCCGTGAGAATTACAGAAAGTCCTAATGAAATACCTGGCCACACTGTTCAACTGGACCCTGATGTTCACACAACATTGTCAGATACTTCCAACAGCCCAGTATTATTGTGAGGTTCTGCAGGACATGACCCATTACAGTGTTACAGTGTTAACAGCAGATCCAGTAGGATGCCATGACAAGCAGCTCATCAGCCATCTTCCCAAGGCAAGGGAGTTAACGGACAAAATCCAGTTTCAACCCTTGCCGAATTTCATGGCTCCATCGTAGCACCATTGGCTCTTACGAGTTATGTCCCTTCCATTGACCAGTCAGATATTCCACGTCTCATCATTTGCATTTGCAAGTTACAGTTTGGCTGACCTAATGAGTCCTAGCATCATCCAATCAAAAGCACATAACAAATCGCCATCCAGTTCGTAAACAACATGATGACTGCCAGGCAGATTTCAGTTGATTGCATGATTTGCAAAGCATGTGTACCACCAAACGGCATCAACAGAATATATCAAATCTGTTCATGCTTTTAATGACCCATTTTACTACATTATAGAACTTGATTATCGATCAAATAATCTTGACTGGGCATCACCATTTTGTCTGAAGCAAACCTATCCGTGACAACCTACTGTATTCAATGACAACAGAAGGAAACACACCTCTGTGATGTCCTGAGGGTTGCCTTCGTTGTCCAGCGGGTCTCCGTAAGATTTCCCACCTATAGATGCCTTGTTGAATGTCATGATGTTCTGAAATTAAACAACCAAATGTGAGTCATGTGAGTCACACGTCTTCACCACCTAGGTGATTGAGCAAGTGAGTTATATATCTTCTCAGCAAGGTGAGTGAGTGAGTTATACATCATGCCTATGTTAACAATCTTCATACTATACTCACTGGTTAATAATTTTCATGCCATATGCACTGGTTAATAATAACTGGTGAGTTAAACATCATGCATATGTTAATAATGTTCATACTACACACATATAGTAATAATGTTCATACTACACACATATAGTAATAATGTTCATACAACACTCACTGGTTCATAATCTTCACACAACTTGCATTTGTTAATAATATTCCAGCTATATGTCGGCGGTCCAGACAATCCAGTGATTGATATCATGTGCATCGATCCACGCAATTGGGATTGATGACATGCATCAACCAAGTCATGAGTCTGTTAATAATCTTCATGTACCACTATTGTAAAACAAAGTCTTTCGACATGGACGGCTTGGTGAGGGGCCACTACACCACACCATAACTAGGCGTTCTCAAAGGTGAGATGAGGTGAGGTGAAATGGGGTTTAACGTCGCGTCCAAGATTATTGCACTTATATAGCGACGTGCATGCACATGTGTGTGTGTGTGTGTGTGTGTGTGTGTGTGTGTGTGTGTGTGTGTGTGTGTGTGTGTGTGTGTGTGTGTGTGTGTGTGTGTGTGTGTGGCTGCGTGGCTGCTTGTACTAGTCTGGACTGATGCCGATTAATAGTGCTAGCCCACTGAGATACCATGCCGCAGTTTAACATGAATACCCCACTCAGACACAGTATACTGACTCTGAGCCGACCAGTCCTTGTTTTAGCCCCTTAACCCTAAGCGCCAGACAGGGTAACAACAAGTACCATCTTTTAACGTCTTTTGGTATGACGCGGCCGGGGATCGAACCCCGGACCTTCTACTCTCCAGGTGGACGCTCTACCACAAGACCACAGAGGCGGTTGGTGTTCTCAAAGACCTTTCCTTTCCCAGTGTAGTTTTCAGTCTTGACCAAACATTCATGAATAATTATTGTATTTATCATAATGCATTAAATAGTATTTCAAGTACTTATTTTTAATTAATGTAATATGGTGACTTTAATTAATTTCAACATCCTTTCTAATACTTTGAAATCACTAGGCAGCGTCGCAAACTCAACAACACACCTGTGTGAGAGTTCCTGTCTTGTCAGAAAAAATGTATTCAATCTGTCCTAGCTCCTCATTAAGGGTTGTGGTCCGAGCTTTGGCAGGGGTGTCCTTCTTGTCAAAGTACATCTTGACATCCCAGTTGATCCACAAGCTGTTGACTAGCCGGATTATCTCCACACTGTAAGCAGGCATTAACACAATCAGTGAGGTTTTCTGTAAATTGAAACATTAACTATATTTGGACACTAAAGCCTGGCATATGTAGTGAACTGTGTACTGCTTCCAGGTGGACGATGTCCTCAACACTGATGATGGGGACACACTACTCATCTGACATACAGGGAGATGGGGACACACTACTCACCTGACATACAGGGAGATGGGGACACACTACTCACCTGACATACAGGGAGATGTGGACACAAAACTCACCTGACATACAGGGGGATTGGGACACACTACTCACCTGACATACAGGGGGATTGGGACACACTACTCACCTGACATACAGGGGGATTGGGACACACTACTCACCTGACATACAGGGAGATGGGTACACACTACTCACCTGACATACAGGGAGATGGGTACACACTACTCACCTGACATACAGGGAGATGGGTACACACTACTCATCTGACATACAGGGAGATTGGGACACACTACTCACCTGACATACAGGGGGATTGGGACACACTACTCACCTGACATACAGGGGGATTGGGACACACTACTCACCTGACATACAGGGGGATTGGGACACACTACTCACCTGACATACAGGGGGATTGGGACACACTACTCACCTGACATACAGGGGGATTGGGACACACTACTCACCTGACATACAGGGAGATGGGTACACACTACTCACCTGACATACAGGGAGATGGGTACACACTACTCACCTGACATACAGGGAGATCGGTACACACTACTCATCTGACATACAGGGAGATTGGGACACACTACTCACCTGACATACAGGGAGATGGGTACACACTACTCACCTGACATACAGGGAGATGGGTACACACTACTCACCTGACATACAGGGAGATGGGTACACACTACTCATCTGACATACAGGGAGATGGGGACACACTACTCACCTGACATACAGGGAGATGGGGACACACTACTCACCTGACACATAGGGAGATGGGTACACACTACTCACCTGACATACAGGGAGATGTGGACACATTACTCATCTAACATACAGGGAGATGGGTACACACTGCTCATCTGACATACAGGGAGATGGGGACACACTACTCACCTGACATACAGGGAGATGGGTACATACTACTCACCTGACATACAGGGAGATGGGTACACACTACTCACCTGACATACAGGGAGATGGGTACACACTACTCATCTGACATACAGGGAGATGGGGACACATTACTCATCTAACATACAGGGAGATGGGGACACACTACTCATCTGACATACAGGGAGATGTGGACACATTACTCATCTAACATACAGGGAGATGGGTACATACTACTCACCTGACATACAGGGAGATGGGGACACACTACTCACCTGACATACAGGGAGATGGGTACATACTACTCACCTGACATACAGGGAGATGGGTACACACTACTCACCTGACATACAGGGAGATGGGTACACACTACTCATCTGACATACAGGGAGATGGGGACACACTACTCACCTGACATACAGGGAGATGTGGACACATTACTCATCTAACATACAGGGAGATGGGGACACACTACTCATTTGACATACAGGGAGATGGGGACACACTACTCATCTCATATACAGGGAGATGGGTACACACTACTCACCTGACATACAGGGAAATGGGTACACACTACTCACCTGACATACAGGGAGATGGGTACATACTACTCACCTGACATACAGGGAGATGTGGACACATTACTCACCTGACATACAGGGAGATGGGTACACACTACTCACCTGACTTACAGGGAGATGTGGACACATTACTCATCTAACATACAGGGAGATGGGGACACACTACTCACCTGACATACAGGGAGATGGGTACACACTACTCATTTGACATACAGGGGAGTTGGGGACACACTACTCATCTCACATACAGGGAGATGGGTACACACTACTCACCTGACATACAGGGAGATGGGTACACACTACTCATCTGACATACAGGGAGATGGGGACACACTACTCACCTGACATACAGGGAGATGGGGACACACTACTCACCTGACATACAGGGAGATGGGTACACACTACTCACCTGACATACAGGGAGATGGGGACACACTACTCACCTCACATACAGGGAGATGGGGACACACTACTCACCTCACATATAGGGAGATGGGGACACATTACTCACCTGACATACAGGGAGATGGGGACACACTACTCACCTCACATATAGGGAGATGGGGACACACTAATCATCTGACATACAGGGAGATGGGGACACACTACTCACCTGACATACAGGGAGATGGGGACACACTACTCACCTGACATACAGGGAGATGGGTACACACTACTCATTTGACATACAGGGAGATGGGGACACACTACTCACCTGACATACAGGGAGATGGGGACACACTACTCACCTGACATACAGGGAGATGGGGACACACTACTCACCTGACATACAGGGAGATGGGGACACACTACTCACCTGACACATAGGGAGATGGGTACACACTACTCATCTGACATACAGGGAGATGGGGACACACTACTCACCTGACATACAGGGAGATGGGGACACACTACTCACCTGACATACAGGGAGATGGGTACACACTACTCATTTGACATACAGGGGAGTTGGGGACACACTACTCACCTGACATACAGGGAGAGGGGTACACACTACTCACCTGACATACAGGGAGATGGGGACACACTACTCACCTGACATACAGGGAGATGTGGACACAAAACTCACCTGACATACAGGGAGATGGGTACACACTAATCACCTGACATACAGGGAGATGGGTACACACTACTCACCTGACATACAGGGAGATGGGGACACACTACTCACCTGACATACAGGGAGATGTGGACACAAAACTCACCTGACATACAGGGAGATGGGGACACACTACTCACCTGACACATAGGGAGATGGGGACACACTACTCACCTGACATACAGGGAGATGGGGACACACTACTCACCTGACATACAGGGAGATGTGGACACAAAACTCACCTGACATACAGGGAGATGGGGACACACTACTCACCTGACACATAGGGAGATGGGGACACACTACTCACCTGACACATAGGGAGATGGGGACACACTACTCACCTGACACATAGGGAGATGGGGACACACTACTCATTTGACATACAGGGAGATGGGGACACACTACTCATTTGACATACAGGGAGATGGGTACACACTACTCATCTGACATACAGGGAGATGGGGACACACTACTCACCTCACATATAGGGAGATGGGGACACACTACTCATTTGACATACAGGGAGATGGGGACACACTACTCACCTGACATACAGGGAGATGGGGACACACTACTCACCTGACATACAGGGAGATGGGGACACACTACTCACCTGACATACAGGGAGATGGGGACACACTACTCACCTGACATACAGGGAGATGGGGACACACTACTCATCTGACATACAGGGAGATGGGGACACACTACTCATCTGACATACAGGGAGATGGGGACACACTACTCACCTGACATATAGGGAGATGGGGACACACTACTCACCTGACATACAGGGAGATGGGGACACACTACTCACCTGACATACAGGGAGATGGGGACACACTACTCACCTGACATACAGGGAGATGGGGACACACTACTCACCTGACATACAGGGAGATGGGGACACACTACTCATCTGACATACAGGGAGATGGGGACACACTACTCACCTGACATACAGGGAGATGGGGACACACTAATCATCTGACATACAGGGAGATGGGGACACACTACTCACCTGACATACAGGGAGATGGGGACACACTACTCACCTCACATACAGGGAGATGGGGACACACTACTCACCTGACATACAGGGAGATGGGGACACACTACTCACCTGACATACAGGGAGATGGGGACACACTACTCACCTGACATACAGGGAGATGGGGACACACTACTCATCTGACATACAGGGAGATGGGGACACACTACTCACCTGACATACAGGGAGATGGGGACACACTAATCATCTGACATACAGGGAGATGGGGACACACTACTCACCTGACATACAGGGAGATGGGGACACACTACTCACCTGACATACAGGGAGATGGGGACACACTACTCACCTGACATACAGGGAGATGGGGACACACTACTCACCTCACATACAGGGAGATGGGGACACACTACTCACCTCACATACAGGGAGATGGGGACACACTACTCACCTCACATATAGGGAGATGGGGACACATTACTCACCTGACATACAGGGAGATGGGGACACACTAATCATCTGACATACAGGGAGATGGGGACACACTACTCACCTGACATACAGGGAGATGGGGACACACTACTCACCTGACATACAGGGAGATGGGGACACACTAATCATCTGACATACAGGGAGATGGGGACACACTACTCACCTGACATACAGGGAGATGGGGACACACTACTCACCTGACATACAGGGAGATGGGGACACACTACTCACCTGACATACAGGGAGATGGGGACACACTACTCACCTGACATACAGGGAGATGGGGACACACTACTCACCTCACATACAGGGAGATGGGGACACACTACTCACCTCACATACAGGGAGATGGGGACACACTACTCATTTGACATACAGGGAGATGGGTACACACTACTCATTTGACATACAGGGAGATGGGTACACACTACTCATCTGACATACAGGGAGATGGGGACACACTACTCACCTGACATACAGGGAGATGGGGACACACTAATCATCTGACATACAGGGAGATGGGGACACACTACTCACCTGACATACAGGGAGATGGGGACACACTACTCACCTGACATACAGGGAGATGGGGACACACTACTCACCTGACATACAGGGAGATGGGGACACACTACTCACCTGACATACAGGGAGATGGGGACACACTACTCACCTCACATACAGGGAGATGGGGACACACTACTCACCTCACATACAGGGAGATGGGGACACACTACTCATTTGACATACAGGGAGATGGGTACACACTACTCATTTGACATACAGGGAGATGGGTACACACTACTCACCTGACATACAGGGAGATGGGGACACACTACTCACCTGACATACAGGGAGATGGGGACACACTACTCATCTAACATACAGGGAGATGGGGACACACTACTCACCTCACATATAGGGAGATGGGGACACATTACTCACCTGACATACAGGGAGATGGGTACGACAGTGTTGAGGATGATGAGGTAAGATAGAAACACCAGCACAGCAATTGTTGCAGCACCCTGCTCCTTGTCGTCATTCACAAAGGTCTCCCATGGCAGATACAATTGGAAGTCAAAGCCGACCACGCTCTCCCAGACACCACAAGCAATGGTGGTCACGAGGCACATGGTCAAGAGGAACAGGAATATCTGAAAGGAATAGGTCATACTGTCAGTACAGGACACTTTCCTACAGTGTATTCCTGGTCCTTGCTTAAAGTGTTATAGGTCCCTGCATAAAGGGTTATAGGTGCCTGCTTAAAGTGTTATAGGTCCCTGCTTGAAGTGTTACAGGTCCCTGCTCAAAGTGTTATAGGTCCCTGCTCAAAGTGTTATAGGTCCCTGCTCAAAGTGTTATAGGACCCTGCTCAAAGTGTTACAGGTCCCTGCTCAAAGTGTTACAGGTCCCTGCTCAAAGTGATATAGGTCCCTGCTTGAAGTGTTATAGGTCCCTGCTTGAAGTGTTACAGGTCCCTGCTTGAAGTGTTACAGGTCCCTGCTTGAAGTGTTACAGGTCCTTGCTTAAAGTGTTACAGGTCCTTGCTTAAAGTGTTACAGGTCCTTGCTTAAAGTGTTACAGGTCCTTGCTTAAAGTGTTACAGCTCCCTGCTTTAAGTGTTATAGGTCCCTGCTTGAAGTGTTATAGGTCCCTGCTTAAAGTGTTACAGGACCCTGCTCACAGTGTTACAGTGAGTGAGTGAGTGAGTGAGTGAGTGAGTGAGTGAGTATGGTTTTACGCCGCTTTTAGCAATATTCCAGCAATATCACGGCGGGGGACACCAGAAATGGGCTTCACACATTGTACCCATGTCGGGAATCGAACCCGGGTCTTCAGCGTGACGAGCGAACGCTTTAACCACTAGGCTACCCGACCGCCCACACAGCGTTACAGGTCCCAGCTTGAAGTGTTATAAGTCCCTGCTTAAAGTGGGACAGGTCCTTGCTTAAAGTGTTACAGCTCCCTGCTTTAAGTGTTATAGGTCCCTGCTTGAAGTGTTACAGGTCCTTGCTTGAATTGTTACAGGTCCTTGCTTAAAGTGTTACACGACCCTGCTCACAGTGTTGTAGGTCCTTGCTTAAAGTGTTACAGCTCCCTGCTTGAAGTGTTACAGCTCCCTGCTTGAAGTGTTACAGGTCCCTGCTTGAAGTGTTACAGGTCCCTGCTTGAAGTGTTACAGGTCCCTGCTTGAAGTGTTATAGGTCCCTGCTTGAAGTGTTATAGGTCCTTGCTTAAAGTGTTACAGCTCCCTGCTTGAAGTGTTACAGGTCCCTGCTTGAAGTGTTATAGGTCCTTGCTTAAAGTGTTACAGCTCCCTGCTTGAAGTGTTACAGCTCCCTGCTTGAAGTGTTACAGCTCCCTGCTTGAAGTGTTATAGGTCCCTGCTTGAAGTGTTACAGGTCCCTGCTTAAAGTGTTACAGGTCCTTGCTTAAAGTGTTACAGGTCCTTGCTTAAAGTGTCACAGCTCCCTGCTTAAAGTGTCATAGGTCCCTGCTTGAAGTGTTATAGGTCCCTGCTTGAAGTGTTACAGGTCCTTGTTTTAAGTGTTATAAGTCCTTGCTTAAAGTGTTATAGGTCCTTGCTTAAAGTGTTACAGGTCCTTGCTTAAAGTGTCATAGGTCCCTGCTCAAAGTGTTATAGGTCCTTGCTTCAAGTGTTATAGGTCCCTGTTAAAGTGTTATAGGTGCCTACTCAAAGTGTTATAGGTCCTTGCTTAAAGTGGTATAGGTCCCTGCTTAAAGTGTTATAGGTGCCTACTCAAAGTGTTATAGGTCCTTGCTTAAAGTTACATAGGTCCCTGCTCAAAGTGTTACAGGTCCTTGCTCAATGTGTTATAGGTCCCTGCATAAAGTGTTATAGGTGCCTACTCAAAGTGTTATAGGTCCTTGCTTAAAGTGGTATAGGTCCCTGCTTAAAGTGTTATAGGTGCCTACTCAAAGTGTTATAGGTCCTTGCTTAAAGTTACATAGGTCCCTGCTCAAAGTGTTACAGGTCCTTGCTCAATGTGTTATAGGTCCCTGCATAAAGTGTTATAGGTGCCTACTCAAAGTGTTATAGGTCCTTGCTTAAAGTGTTATAGGTCCTTGCTTAAAGTGTTATAGGACCCTGCTCACAGTGTCACAGGTCCCTGCTTAAAGTGTTACAGGTCCTTGCTTAAAGTGTTATAGGTCCCTGCTCACAGTTTTACAGGTCCCTGCTTAAAGTGTTATAGGTCCCTGTTTAAAGTGTTACAGGTCCTTGCTTAAAGTGTCACAGGTCCCTGCTCACAGTGTTACAGGTCCCTGCTTAAAGTGTTATAGGTCCTTGCTTAAAGTGTTACAGGTCCTTGCTCAAAGTGTTATAATCACTATCATGGGTCTGTAGTGCTTAGACTGTTCATTTAAGAATTGACTTTCACTTCATATGGCAACATTAGGTATGAACCTTCATAGAGTGAGGGCCAAACTTGCAGAGGGCCAGAGCTTGCCGATCATTGAAAGGTGATGATTATAATGATACCGTATTCGACGTAATAAGCGCCCGTGGCGCTCTCAAAATAAGAAATAAGGACTCTTATTAGAAAATAATTATGGTGAGAAAAAAACCAGAGTTGAAAGATTGTAAAGTTTGTTGTTTAGGCTGACAGCCTGAAATGATACAAAAGAAAAGTATGTGCGTATCATACATGACAGATATATTTTCCAGAATTTAATTGCCCATAATTAAGGGTGCATATAACACACAAGTGCGTATTATACACAAATAAAAAAGTCTTGTGTACATTGATCAATCGGAAGGTGTGCTAATTGGGATTGTTCACTTGCCACTAGCAAATATCGCCGTGGGCGCTTATTAGAGAGGGGCGCTTATTACGTCAAATAAGGTATGTCAAATTGGTACTGAGATAAATTCTTAGATAGGTGTGGGTTGTCACTGTCAGTCTATGCACAAATCGAGTCAATAGTTTGGGAGTGCATTTCGTTGTTTTGGGCACTAAGATGGGTCTTAGTGAGGATACTCATGCATGGGCACTATCAGACTTTTCCCAATGTTTGCTAAAATACTTAGTTTAAGATTAAAGGATCTAAAATACCAAAAACAGCACTTCTGTAGCTATTCATGCTGGGGAATAGGCTATTTATAATGCGCATATTTCCACACAACTGAAGGGAATGCTCAAAGCGTTATTACCCCGGTCACTGGATCAATGTGCACTCAAGAATCATTCTCAGCTCCATGGGGAGTATACAACCCAGGCTGCCTGTTTGCCTCTAGAAGGTTTACAACCTCATTGCCATCTCATCCATACCAGCATGCCCACCCAAACCCAACACAAGTCAGCCCCATGCAAGCATGGTTGCCGTAAAAGACGACTATGCTTGTCGTAAGAGGCGACTAACATGATCGGGTGGTGAGGCTCGCTGACTTGATTGATGCATGTCATCGTATCCCAATTGCGTGGATAGATGTTCATGATGTCAATCACTGGATCGTCTTGTCGAGGCTTGATTATTTACAGACCACCATCATATAGCTGGAATATTGCTGTGTGCAGCGTTCAACAACAAACAAACAAAGCAAGCATGACGTAACAATGTCCTGTTGCCACAACATGCTACAGGCTACAACTCACTCCAACAATGAGGATATTCATGAGTCGGTCGATGTGGGTTCTCTTGAACACTGTCTTGCCGCTGTTCATCATGAGCTTTGAGTCATGTCCGGCGAAGACGACGAGTCCGTAGCACCACTGGGTGTTCCGCAAGACACATCCCCTCAGCACCACCTTGTCGTTGTCCAGGGAGTAGGTCTCTCCCTTCCACGTCAACTTGCCCTCAAACTTGCTCAGGCGGATGTTCGGAGCTTCACAGATTATCTCCGCTGTAAAGTGACAAAGCAGGACATTTCAGACATTGAAAGTTCCAACATTTCGACACGTCTTTATTATTCACTTTTGCATGTCATTGTTTTTACCAAACAATTGATGAGTCGAGAAACTGAATTGCTCATCTAAACCATGAAACATTCAGGTGGATTTATGTTATTATATACTATCTATGAAAGCCTTTTTCATGATCCTCGACATACTAAGGCATCATATCCCGTTCTATTGAGATAAATACCCAGGACCCATTCACCACAAAAGCTTTGTTTCGTTTTGTTCAACCATTTCCATCTCGGTTTTTCTCGGTCCTGAGTCCAATCTGATTGCATGCCTTATTTTAAATCAGTGTCTTGTGAAACTAAGCGAATGGGTGCAGCGTATTTATCCTAACAGAATGGAGGAATAACATTCTGAATAATTAAGGATGTGAGGTGGGGTGAAATTGGGTTTAACGTCGCATCCAAGATTATTGCACTTATATAGCGACGTGCATGCACGTGTGTAATTAAGGATGTGGACAAGTGAGTGAATTTCTTTTTATACCACAGTGGCCATTAAATGAGGATACCAGTAGGTGGTAGCATGGAGAAAATAGCCACGCCATCAGCTCACAATGACACAGGAGGAACCAGGTTATTAGTATCTTACCATTAAAGCTGCATAGGACTCAGTTAACATGAGCTACCTAATTTCATCACTGACAAAAACTCCCTCTATTTCAAACAGATCTTAATTAACTAACATTATCATCGAAATTAATCTAAAAATATATTTATTTAAAAAAACTATGACAAAACAAAACTGTCACCTTTCCTGATCAGAACTGTGATATATATTCAAAGTAAGAAATGATTTTTTCAGTTGACAGAAAAATAGTTAAAATCTGTGATTTGAAATCATGTGCATAAATCATTCATGACTGACAAATGACCTATAAAATCTGAAACCTTAAATCAATATAACAGTAGCCACAGATGTTTATCCTGTGTGATGGACTGACGTCAGGTGGAGAGCGACGTCCCCAACATCAATCTCAACAGCTGGCCCTATAGTTGATCTGATCGGTCTACAGTCGACACTCTTCAACTGATTCAGATAATCAATGACTACGATGAACTGATTCATCCAGAATTCAACAACAGTGACTATACACTGTAATAAACAGGTGATCTGCCTGCGAGTCTCAGATGGGAGATGACTTTGATGTTCTTCATGCCACAGGCAAACCAGTACTTCCAAACCAAAGTAACAATCCACACTGTCAGGTGTGATGATACAGCCATTTTGGCCTCCCAATACTCACAAACTTTTGGTTTGTTGGTTAACGCCTCAAAGAGCACTATTCCAGCTATATGACGGCGTTTTGTAAATAACTGAGTCTGGACCAGACAATCCAGTGATTGACATCATCAGCATCTATCACAATTGGGATATGATGATATGCATCAACTAAGTCAGCGAACCTGAGCACCGATCCCGTTAGTTGCCTCTTACGACAAGCACAGTTGCCTTTTACAGCAAGCATGGGTTGCTGAAGACCTATTCTACCCCAGATCTTCACAGGTAGTAATCTATTCGGATCCAAGTTAAATAACAAGAAACATGTGATAGGACAGGTTGGAAAATCAGGAGGTTGGTTAGGGGTAGGCTGCATAATATGAAACAATTGAGGGGGGCGGGATCGTGGGCAATGTGAGAGAGGGGATGTCACAGGAGACGCTAAAGGATGGGGGTGGATATTAGGGTGGGGCATAGATATGAGAGAGGAAGGGGACCACAAGGCTGTGACTACTGACCATTAAACTGTGACATCTTTGGATGATCGTCTCCAATGACCGCAGTCTCTGGCAAGGCCTGTTTCACCTTAAGATTGGTCTCCCTGTAAAACCACAAACACAAATAATACAAAGGTACTGAAGCTCACCTGTACCAGATAATGCAGGAGCATTGGGTTATGTTACCAAAGCAACACGGCTACAATTCAACAAGCAAGACAATGCAATTAGTTTCAATTATTTCTACTGATATCATATCTATTGACTATCACATCCTGATTTACCTGTCACATTGGCTGCCAAGTGCTAAGAATATCTTAAACACTCACTGATATTTAAAGATTTATACTGTCCAATATGGATTAAGGATCTCACAGATAAACAGATAATCAGCCTAACCAAATGGTATTCATTGAGTGAGTTTTGTGTAACCATAGTCAACAATACTTTAGCCATATGTTAACTGAAAATAGAATCTGGTTAATATTTGAGAATGCTGACAAGAAGTAGATGCCATACAGTACTTGATCCTGAACACTTTCTGAATTTCAATGCAGGATGAATAGGACAGAACATGCTGTCAATATATAAAAAGCCACTATTAATAAAGAAATTATTCCCCGTGAATTGGAATCCACATTTCCACAATGCTGTATCGAGCATGAAGACAGTAGCCTTCATGTACACATTCCTGATCGGTGCAGGCAGAAATCTTTAATTTTCAAAGTGAACCCCCAACATTGCGGTAGATTTACTAAACATCCTCTCATCAATACCAAGCAATAACTTCAGTGGTTTCCGAGACTTTACTTTTCAGTCTTTGAAATTAAAACTCTAGATGTAGTTGGAGCGGTCGGGCAGGCTAGTGGTTAAAGCGTTCGCTCGTCACGCTGAAGACCCAGGTTCGATTCCCGACATGGGTACAATGTGTGAAGCCCGTTTTCTGGTGTCCTCCGACGTGATATTGCTGGAATATTGCTAAAAGCAGCGTAAAACTATACTCACTCACTCACTCACTCACTCACTCACTCACTCACTAGATGTAATTTGTTATTTTGTTTAACGCCTCACTCAGCAATATTCCAGCTATATGGAATGTAAATAATCAAGTCTGAACCAGACAATCCAGTGATCGACATCATGAGCATTAATCCACACAATTAGGATATGATGACATGCATCAACCAAGACAGCAAGCTTAACCAACAGATCCCGTTAGTCACCTTTTACGACAAGCATAGTCGCCTTATACGGCAAGAATGGGTTGATGAAGAACTATTCTACCCCGTATCTTCACGGGTCTCTAGATTGAGGGATATATAGAGCCAGTATATTGATGTTGATGTTTTTGGTAGTCTGGTGCTAACAGAAGAACATATATTCAAGGAAGGACAAAACTCCCACGACATAGTGGCAGGCAGAAATAACAGTAATAGATAGAGGGATGAGCCCCAGGTGTCAGACACAGCACCTCAATGGATGTGTTTCATCCTACTACAGTCAGTATCTACAACAGCTTACCCATCCAACTCGGCAGTCTCAATGTAGCATAAACTGTTGGGTTCACTGGTGGACAGCAGCATGAAGTCAGCCTGAAACACATGGAGACACAACATCAGCACCTTCACTGACCACGGGGCAGATCCAGGAGTGTACTATGTGAAGAATAAAGCACGACTCCTCGGTTATGGTCGAGGAAGTAAGACCAAGGCAAGAGGGTATCTCAGCCACACATTGCTAAAACTGTCTAAATGCAAGAAGTAACAGAAAAAATAAGAAAACATCGATATATATTATAGCGAAACAATGCAGTGTGTTGAGGTATAAAAGAAATGCGATCAAATCGTGCGAGAGAAGGAACATGTGCAGAATAGATAAAACTAAATGATGACATCTAAAATTGAATGTTCTTTCACCACCTGCCCCAGTGGAAAAACAGTTGGTTACAAAACTTAACACATTATGTGAGGTTGCACGTTCGATTCCCATCATCCATAATGAAAAACTTTCATTTCTTTTCTTTCATTTTATAACATTGGACATTTGACCATGAAATCCAAATTCCATCTGGTACTCAAATCATAAGGTCTTACTTTGAAAAAGTAAAACCTCACACCTGGGCCCACTTGCACAAAGCGATCTTAGCGCTAAGATGATCGTAACTCCCATGCTTTAACATAGGCTTACTGTAGTTGTAGCGCTAAGATCGCTTTGTGCAAGTTGGCCCTGGTCTTACTTTGAAAAAGTAAAACTTCCCAAGAGTTTATTACGAGATAGAGTGAGTGAGTGAGTGAATATTGCTTAACGCCGCATCAGCAATTTTGCAGCCCATTCGCGGCGAGTATTACGAGATAGAAAGGTAACTACAATACAATAGGCGAAAGTGGCAGTAGGTTTATAAAGGGTTCTACAGTACAGCTGTCCATCGTCAGCCACTCTAGGGGCATCAGCAACTCTCAGCACAAAGTTCTTGTGGCACTCCAGCTATTGTAACAGCATCTATTACTCAGGTATCTTGTCCCCACTCCATGATGATACATTCCCTGGACCCGTTCCCCACCATAGCTTTGTTTGGAAGTCACCATCTCAATCTCACGACAAAAGAAATCTTCTCGCTCATGAGAGTGATTTGATGAGTTTTAGCATTGTCTCATTTGATGCGGGTCTCAAAACTAAGCTATGGTACCAAATAGATTTATGATATTTATCATATTGGATGGGAGATATTTGTCATAAATAATTGAGGATGCTGTTGCAACTGTTGCTGTTGCTGTTACTGTAGCGCTACAAGGGCTTATTGTCTTGTTCCACCAAACGACCTTGATGAATGTATTCAAGGCATGGGGATAGACTATTGCAGGCAGGCTGCAACTGGGAATCAATCATTCCTGGTGGTGACCACAATTGCCATTTGAATCCAATTTTAATTCCCCAAATGGGAGCTGCAAGGGATTATCAGGATCACTCGTCTCCAAGGGGTATCCGACATATGTGTATTCAGTCACGTTAGGAGCTGTAAGGGATTATGATGACCTCCTTGTCCACAAGGGAAGTCAGACATATTGACCATCCAATGTACATTCAGTCACGTTAGGAGCTGTAAGGGATTATGCTGACCTCCTTGTCTTCAAGGGGAGTCAGACATATCCAAGGTACTGCAAGGACATTGAGGACCACACTTTCTGCAACCGGCACCAGAGCCCGCAACAGGAACAAGAATTCTGATCCCTTAAATGTTATTTTCCTTCAGTATTTGTTCAACACCCTGGAATGTCACAATGCCATTGTGAGGTGAGGTGAGGTGAGGTGAAATGGGGTCCAAGATTATTACACTTATATAGCGACGTGCATGCACGCGTATGTGTGGCTGCTTGTACTAGTCCGGACTGATGCCGATTTATAGTGCTAGCCCACTGAGATACCATGCCGCAGTTTAACATGAATACCCAACTCAGACACAGTATACTGACTCCGAGCCGACCAGTCCTTGTTTTAGCCCTTTAATGCCGAGCGCCAGACAGGGTAACAACAAGTACCATCTTTTAACTTCTTTTGGTATGACGCGGCCAGGGATCGAACCCCGGACCTTCCGCTCTCCAGGCGGAGGCTCTACTTCTAGACCACGGAGGTGGTCCACAAAGCCATCACTGTTTGCTCTATCCATATGATGTCAGTACGATCAATAATATGCCTGCAGACTTTCCTTTCAATAAAAAGTTTGCTCTTTTCACATTAGACTAAAAACTACTCTGGTAGATTTTCGAAGAATTAGTAAAATATGGATAAAAGATAATCTTATCCCTGGTAACTCTTGTCATGTAAGAAAAGTGCTTATTAGAAATTGTAAAAAACAGTGAATATGGTACATTACAATCCAAGTTTCATAAGACTTTTTGTGGAGTATCAAGTGATTTATCTAATCACTGGTCTCTCATAGCCAAATGACAAAGATGGAATCTATATGTGGGTAATCTAATCAGCTGCACACCCTAATGCCATAACCATCAAGGCCAATTCAATTGTGCTATCTATATTTAGTTGTTCAGCTAATCATGTGTACCAGACTAATGGTCGTCAGTGATTTTGACTGTGATATATTTATGATGAACTTGACATTTTTGGAAAATTCCAAGGTGAACTCTGCACTTGTTTTGTTATGGTTAATACATAATCCTGAAATAACTCAGATCATCTGCATTCTCTCGACAGTCAATAATTGCCATTGAAATTTGGGATAAAGAAAGTCATATTAGCTGTAAGAAGAAACACAACTTGATGTGCTGTGATTAAGAAAATATAAATGTGCCTTTACATAGATGAGTTTTGGAGCAGTGAACAAAAGGAGGGAAACCTTGTGCACTTTGAAACAAAGATATATTTGGTGAAAACAGAGAGAATGGGTATGATACTGACAAACCAAGGTTCATAGTACTGACAAACCAAGGTTCATGGTACTGACAAACCAAGGTTCATGGTACTGACAAACCAAGGTTCATGGTACTGACAAACCAAGGTACATGTACTGACAAACCAAGGTACATGGTACTGACAAACCAAGGTCCATGTACAGACAAACCAAGGTTCGTGGTACTGACAAACCAAGGTTCTTGGTACTGACAAACCAAGGTTCATGGTACAGACAAACCAAGGTTCATGGTACTGACAAACCAAGGTACATGTACTGACAAATCGAGCTACATGTACTGACAAACTAAGGTACATGTACTGACAAACCAAGGTACATGTACTGACAAACCAAGGTATATGTACTGACAAACCAAGGTACATGTACTGACAAACCAAGGTTTCTGGTACTGAAAAACCAAGTTTCTTGTACAGACAAACCAAGGTTCATGGTACAGACAAACCAAGGTTCATGGTACAGACAAACCAAGGTACAAGTACTGACAAACCAAGGTTCGTGGTACTGACAAACCAAGGTACAAGTACTGACAAAGCAAGGTACATGTACAGACAAACCAAGGTTCATGTACAGACAAACCAAGGTTCATGTACAGACAAACCAAGGTACAAGTACTGACAAACCAAGGTACATGTACAGACCAACCAAGGTTCATGTACAGACAAACCAAGGTTCATGTACAGACAAACCAAGGTTCATGTACAGACAAACCAAGGTACAAGTACTGACAAACCAAGGTACATGTACAGACAAACCAAGGTTCAGATACAGACAAACCAAGGTACAAGTACTGACAAACCAAGGTACATGTACAGACAAACCAAGGTTCGTGGTACTGACAAACCAAGGTACAAGTACTGACAAACCAAGGTTCATGGTACTGACAAACCAAGGTACATGTACAGACAAACCAAGGTTCATGTACAGACAAACCAAGGTACATGTACTGACAAACCAAGGTTCATGGTACAGACAAACCATGGTACATGTACAGACAAACCAAGGTTCGTGGTACTGACAAACCAAGGTACAAGTACTGACAAACCAAGGTACATGTACAGACAAACCAAGGTTCAGATACAGACAAACCAAGGTACAAGTACTGACAAACCAAGGTACATGTACAGACAAACCAAGGTTCGTGGTACTGACAAACCAAGGTACAAGTACTGACAAACCAAGGTTCATGGTACTGACAAACCAAGGTACATGTACAGACAAACCAAGGTTCATGTACAGACAAACCAAGGTACATGTACTGACAAACCAAGGTTCATGGTACAGACAAACCATGGTACATGTACAGACAAACCAAGGTTCGTGGTACTGACAAACCAAGGTTCATGTACTGACAAACCAAGGTACATGTACAGACAAACCAAGGTTCATGTACAGACTGACAAACCAAGGTTCATGGTACAGACAAACCAAGGTTCATGGTACAGACAAACTAAGGTACATGTACAGATAAACCAAGGTACATGTACAGACAAACCAAGGTTCATGTACAGACAAACCAAGGTACATGTACAAACAAACCAAGGTACATGTACAGACAAACCAAGGTTCATGTACAGACAAACCAAGGTTCATGTACAGACAAACCAAGGTACATGTACAAACAAACCAAGGTACATGTACTGACAAACCAAGGTTCTTGTACAGACAAACCAAGGTTCGTGGTACAGACATGATTTTTTCAGATGACAGATTAACTAATGTCATACAAAAATTTGGTAGTTCCTCAACTTCTCATGATTTGCTCAGTCGTACATATAGAAAAGTATGACATCTTAGTGCTACATTAGTACATTACTGAGACACAAATTGTGTGCAAATTTGAAAATCAGTAAGAGAAAACAATAACATGCAAATAACATGAAAGCTACAATGTGATTGGTCTTTCTTCATTGTTGTTAAACTCAATGATCACTGCAGGACCTGGTGCAGGACCTCAGCATCAAACAATAGCTATTTTAACCTCTGAATAAAATATACTCACAGCAACAAAGTCATTGTTTCTGAGTCGTATGATGTCGCCCACAACAACGGTGTGCCATCGTGCCGATACGATTTTGCCATCTCGCAATACATCTGACTTCCTGTTGTTTACCTGTGCATCGCTCCGATGACGTTTCTACAGAAGAAAGATCCTACATCAAGAAACTAGAAATGAATGTTACACACAAATTACTGCCAGGAAAGCCATGTCACTTAAGGATATATGATAAAGAAACTAAAAGCTTTATTGTAATTACAGTCTAGAAATCAATGTTCTTACTCCACAACTTTTTCAAACAGTAATGATAAAATAGAGAAAATAACATTAACTCTGTATCAATTAGACACACCGTTATTCATTATTATTATTCATTATTATTATTCATCCATAATATTACAAATTAATGAATGAAATATATGAGTTTTAATATTTTTTAACAGGAAATGGGTCAAGAATGTTCATAATTAATAAATTCTTTCTCAATCCTCAACCAATTTATCAAATAATGTCTTTCTGCTAAGCTTTCAAGCATTGACTTGGATATCAGAAGGTTGATAGCATAATCCTCACAACTAATTCACATTTAATAATAATCGACATTTTCAATGGCCATCGCTCTGTATCTGACAGTGAAAGTCCCACTGTAACGCTGAAACAAGCCTGGGATCTCCGGACGAAGCCAACATCATCCATGTAGTCATTCTATTTGCATATAAATTACACAAACTGCAAAAACAGGCACCTTCAGACTTTTGGGTAATACAGAGAGCTCAACAAGTTGTACAAGTCGATGCCAACAATGAAAATCAGATTAATGTTTGATACTCATTCTTTCCGAGTTTAATTCTTTCCGACATCTGTAAAATTGCGCAGCTACGTTAACATGCAATGTGTCTTTATTGTTTAATTGTGAAACTGCCACACATTTCTGCGCACATTGCTATCATAGATTTATAGACTGTGTTGATAAAAGATCCTGTCTTGACACAGAGAACAACCATGTATATCCCTACAGACCTCCACTCAAGCCTCACCATGTATAACCTACAGACCTCCACTCAAGTGGCATTTATGTATATCCCTACACACCTCCACTGAAGTCCCACTTATGTATAACCCTACAGACCTCTACTCAAGTCCCACTTATGTATAACCCTACAGACCTTCACTCAAGTCCCACTTATGTATAACCCTACAGACCTCCACTCAAGTACCACTTATGTATAACCCTACAGACCTTCACTCAAGTCCCACTTATATATAACCCTACAGACCTCCACTAAGTCCCACTTATGTATAACCCTACAGACCTCCACTCAAGTCCCAAATATGTATAACCCTACAGACCTCCACTCAAGTACCACTTATGTATAACCCTACACACCTCCACTCAAGTCCCACTTATGTATAACCCTACAGACCTCCACTAAGTCCCACTTATGTATAACCCTACAGACCTCCACTAAGTCCCACCTATGTATAACCCTACAGACCTCCACTCAAGTACCACTTATGTATAACCCTACAGACCTCCACTCAAGTCCCACTTATGTATAACCCTACAGACCTCCACTAAGTCCCACCTATGTATAACCCTACAGACCTCCACTCAAGTACCACTTATGTATAACCCTACAGACCTCCACTCAAGTCCCTTATATGTATAACCCTACAGACCTCCACTAAGTCCCACTTATGTATAACCCTACAGACCTCCACTCAAGTACCACTTATGTATTACCTTACAGACCTCCACTCAAATCCCATTTATATATAACCCTACAGACCTCCACTCAAATACCACTTATGTATAACCCTACAGACCTCCACTCAAGTCCCACCCAACCGCTTCTATTGAGCTTCAGAGAAATTCTGTTGTTAGCTACCACAGACCAGATATCTCACATGAAACCTGGTCTAAGGACTGAAGACCAACACTGGAAATAAAAATCTAAACAGAGATCTGATTCTCAGAATCAAAATTAAGTCTCAATGAAATAGGAGCCAACATTCTATTTTCAAAATAATCCTCAACTTATATAGTTACTTTTATAAGAACAAAATATATATGACTGTTTTGAACAAGCTTGATTGACAAATGGCATTTACTTTTCTTGCAAAAAGAACTTGGCATTTTATCTGAGTTCCATGAATCAATATATGAAAATGTGAAATATTACATATTTAAATGAGACAGGTAATGTCAATTAATGATCAGTAAAGACTACACATGTTAGCATGACGTTTTGCAAACAGGTAATATCATCAGTGAAACTATGAAGTAAAGTTACTAGCTGCTACTGTTCCAGGCCTTGTATTGCATGAAGGAGAGTGCAGTATTTGTATATCAGGCGTATATTGCTTATTGCATGGTCAGCTATAGCCAAAGCATATCATTTAGATAGTGACTTTCAATTGGATAAGGAGGCTGGTGAGGGGTCATGAGAAAATGGAAGAGTAGATTAACTCTGAAAGTCTCAGCAAATACTGGCACTACTAAGGGACACAACTGTGCATGGTCATTCTTGATTAAAGATTCGTTGCCTCAACAGAGCTGAGTGTTCTGTGCTGATAATCCAGTGATTGACATCATAAGCATCGATCCATGTAATTGGGATACTATGGCAAGCATGGGTTGCTGAAGACCTATTCTACCCTGGATCTTCACAGGTGCAATTTACCATTAAGATAGTTTAAAATCATTATCTAAAACAGTAACTATTAGATATAAAAAACAAAAATGGAAATTCATTTGGAAACATCTAAAAATTTACTTAAATTTCACAAATTATGTTGGAAAAATACATATTAAATAATGAACATAATCAAATAATTATATCCTATTTTCATAAGATTTACAAAACTCCCAAACTTAGTATAATTACTCCATAATGAGTAGAGTAATGTGAAAGACATCCTCACTCCGACAACAGGTGACATTGGGCACTTACAAAGTCATCGACAGCATCCTTAATGGCGGTGACTATAAGCACAACGACGAGCGGTATGACCGTGGTGAGGGGAGTGAGGGACGAGACCACGGGCATCACCTATTGATGTACACAACCCACACTGTATAGCAACTGCCTCTCACCAACACAAGGGAAGCAAAACTTGGTCCGCAGTCGCAAATTAAGTCTCCTGGCAGGATGAAAGATTTTCAACATGGAAAAGAGAGATGCACACACAGCGAAGCATAAAGCAACTGTCATCTGATCTCAGAAGACTATGGGGATGCAGAGCAATTTCACGTACAAAAGATGTACACACGAAAATTGGAAGTGTACAGACAAATATATGTATTCCTGCCTTTTCCAGTGCAGCCATGTTACCCTGTTCTTGCCCCTACTCCTTTGTTTCTTGATTATCATTTTCAACCATTCTTTTTGAAGCAGGTGTATTTTCCTATGCATGTTTCAATAAGCCAAACTTTCAATTCAGACACTGATACATTAATGTGTGGCCAGCGCCAGGCTGTTCTTTAAGCAACATCTCTCTTTTCTAACAAAACAGATTCCCAGCTCCCTTGAATAAAAAAAAGAATGAAACAAGAAGTTGCCAGGGATAGCCACCATTGTGACATTCTCACTGAAAGCTGTGAAAGATTCCTGCCAGACAATGTTTTCCTCCATACAGCCTTCTCACTGTCACAGTGCAACGTACACAATCTATTTCCTACTTACACAATTGATTTTTTAAAGATGCTTACAGTGAGTACTGGCAATTGATCAAACTGATTTTTTTTAACTGATGGGACTTTCTTTCAGAGATTTGTCTACGTCAAATTGGTGGGACTGTCTTGTTATGCTAATCCTTGTGGTTCAAGGGACAGCTTTTAAAAAAAAAAAAGCCTGAAGGTCTGTCATATTGGGTTGGTTGGTTGGTTGGTTGGTTGGTTGGTTTGTTGTTTTACGCCGCACTCAGCAATATTCCAGCTATATGACGTAAATCCTTCTGTAAATAATCGAGTCTGGACCAGACAATCCAGTGATTAATATCAGGAGCATCGATCCACGCAATTGGGATCTATGACATGCATCAACCAAGTCAACGAGCCTGACCATCCGATCATGTTAGTCGCCTTTTACGACAAGCATAGTCGCCTTTTACGGCAAGCATGGGTTGATGAAGACCTATTCTACCCCGGATCTTCACGGGTTATGTCTGTCATATTGGGGCAATGTGGACCTCATATTTTTTTATTTTTTTATGTTTTTGTTTGTTTGTTTGTTGTTAAATGCTGCACTCAGCAATAATCCATCTGTACGACTGCAGTTTATTAATAATCAAGTCTGGGCCGGACAGTTCAGTGATTGGCACCATGAGCAATTGAGCATCATCCAAGTCAGCAAGCCTGAGCACCCGATCCCGTTAGTCACCTCTTACGACAAGCAGGGAAGGCGAATTCTAATCCAGATCTTCATGGGTCAAGTCAAGTAATCCAGTAAAGGACTTGGTTCACTTGACTGCAGTATTGTACTGCACCAACAGCTTGAATTGGCTCTCCCACATCTCCCCTACCCTGGGTAGAAGAGCATGCATAGGCCAGAATGGGGCGTGTAATGTTGTTCATTATATGACGAACAGCGGGGCCTGGAGTTGGGGTCATGGTGTTTGTGGTATGACTGGCAATGGGGCCTGGAGTTGGGGTCATGGTGTTTGTGGTATGACTGGCAATGGGGCCTGGAGTTGGGGGTCATGGTGTTTGTGGTATGACTGGCAATGGGGCCTGGAGTTGGAGGTCATGGTGTTTGTGGTATGACTGGCAATGGGGCCTGGAGTTGGGGTCATGGTGTTTGTGCTATGACTGGCAATGGGGCCTGGAGTTGGAGGTCATGGTGTTTGTGGTATGACTGGCATTAGGGTCTGTCACATGGGGCCATGGTGTTCATGGTATGACTGGCAATGGGCCTGTTATTTTGGCCATGGTGTTCATGGTATGACTGGCAATGGGCCTGTTATTTTGGCCATGGTGTTCATGGTATGACTGGCAATGGGCCTGTTATTTTGGCCATGGTATTCATGGTATGACTGGCAATGGGCCTGGAGTTGGGGCCATGGTATGACTGGCAATGGGCCTGTTATTTTGGCCATGGCTTTTCATGGTATGACTGGCAATGGGCCTGGAGTTGGGGCCATGGTCTTCATGGTATGACTGGCAATGGGCCTGTTATTTTGGCCATGGTGTTCATGGTATGACTGGCAATGGGCCTGGAGTTGGGGCCATGGTGTTCATGGTATGACTGGCAATGGGCCTGGAGTTGGGGCCATGGTCTTCATGGTATGACTGGCAATGGGCCTGTTATTGGGGCCATGGTCTTCGTGGTATGACTGCCAATGGGCCTGGAGTTGGGGCCAAGTTGGTCCTTATATGACTGGCAAATCAACTAACGCCATGAAGAAACTAGGCTTCTAGGAGAATGATGGCAATGTGCCATGTGTTATGAAAGATTGAATGTCAGCATCTCTAGAAGACTAGTCACAATGGTAGCTATATGGCACAATGACACACAGTGGATTTGACCCACTTGTTGTTAAAGCATGAAACTTCGCTGAAAGAGATGCTGTCAAAGAATTAATTAGCAATCCCAACAAAAGATCAAATTCATGTCTCACCCTTCTTCTCATCTTTTATACAAGATGAGTTGTGTGCACATGGTACATCTAAACATGGGTCTACTAAACCTGTTAAATCTAATGTGGTAACTTTATAGAGGTTCATTATCCATGAAAAAAGACCTTAAACCTGGAACTCTTTAAATCCATATTTGGAACAAAGTTCTTTAGATACTATTATCAGACAATATGCCTGATAATAAAAGCAAATAAAAAAATTCAACGCAATTGTTCCAGTGAATGGCAGATTGTTGATTTTACAAAAGTATATGTTTCAAAGTGCACACTGAAGGTTTACTGAACTCTGTGTTTGTGGTTGCATGTTTACAAACACACTGATTGTTCCACTACAACAACAGAACCGAGACATGATTTTTTTTATTGGGACATAAACACAAAAAAACAAAACCATAGCATAACTCCCTCATGCTCCTGTGCATGATGCAACTCGGGAAAGGACGAGCTGTCGTCATCTCAACAAAATGGTGTGATCCAAAGCAAAACTTTCCCCCAGAATCAAATTCCAGGACATGATGTATAGGTCTGACACATGGTCATGCAACTTGGCATCATCTGAACATCATTCCATAACCTAAAAATAGAATATTAAATGAATAATTGATTCTCAATATAACAGAGTGTAAACAGACACCAGTTTTTGAGATTGGCAAAATGAATCCATCAAAATAACTCAAGGTGGACTGGGTATATGACAGATGCAAGCAAAGCACGAAGGACATATTATAATATTGCAGGCTCCAAGTGCAGTAGCAGGTTATAAGCAGTGCAGGGGAGCTGGCGATGGTCAAGCCCAACCATGTGTGACTTACGAAATCATCGATTGCATCCTTGATGGCCGACACCGTGAGCACGAACACCAATGGAATGATGGTGGTCACAGGACTAAGTGATGTTACAGCTGGAATAAACTATTAAAGGCAACATGGTAAACATTGGCACATGCTGGTTCATACAAGCATTGGCACATGCTGGTTCATACAAAGATTGGCACACAATCGTTCATAAAGACATTGGTACACACTGGTTCATACAAACATTGGTACAAACTGGTTCATACAAACATTGGTACACACTGGTTCATACAAACATTTGCACATGCTGGTTCATACAAACATTGGCACACACTGGTTCATACAAACATTGGCACACACTGGTTCATACAAAGATTGGCACACAATCGTTCTTAAAGACATTGGTACACACAGGTTCATACAAACATTGGTACACACTGGTTCATACAAACATCGGCACACACTGGATCATACAAACATTGGCACACACTGGATCATACAAACACTGTCACACACTGGATCATACAAACACTGTCACACACTGGTTCATACAAACACTGGCACACGCTGGATCATACAAACATTGGCATACACTGATTCATAAAAACACTGGCACACACTGGATCATAAAAACACTGGCACACACTGGATCATACAAACACTGGCACACACTGGTTCATACAAACATTGGAACACACTGGTTCATACAAACATTGTCACACACTGGATCATACAAACATTGGCACATGCTGGTTCATACAAACATTGGCACACACTGGTTCATACAAACACTGGCACACACTGGTTCATACAAACATTGTCACACACTGGATCATACAAACATTGGCACAGACTGGTTCATACAAACACTGGCACACTGGTTCATACAAACATTGTCACACACTGATTCATAAAAACATTGGCACACACTGGATCATACAAACATTGTTACACACTGGAACATACAAACACTGTCACACACTGGTTCATACAAACACTGGCACACGCTGGATCATACAAACATTGGCATACACTGATTCATAAAAACACTGTCACACACTGATTCATAAAAACATTGGCACAGGCTGGATCATACAAACACTGGCACACGCTGGATCATACAAACATTGGTACACACTTGTTCATACAAACATTGGTACACGCTGGTTCATACAAACATTGGTACACACTGGTTCATACAAACATTGGCACACACTGGATCATACAAACATTGGCACACACTGGATCATACAAACATTGGCACACACTGGATCATAAAAACACTGGCACACACTGGATCATACAAACACTGGCACACACTGGTTCATACAAACATTGGCACACACTGGTTCATACAAACACTGGCACACACTGGTTCATACAAACATTGGCACACACTGGATCATACAAACATTGGCACAGACTGGTTCATACGAACACTGGCACACTGGTTCATACAAACATTGTCACACACTGGATGATACAAAACATTGTCACACACTGATTCATAAAAACATTGTCACACACTGGATCATACAAACATTGTTACACACTGGATCATACAAACACTGGCACACACTGGTTCATACAAACATTGGCATACACTGATTCATAAAAACATTGTCACCCACTGATTCATAAAAACATTGTTACACACTGGATCATACAAACACTGGCACACACTGGTTCATACAAACATTGGCATACACTGATTCATAAAAACATTGTCACCCACTGATTCATAAAAACATTGGCACACACTGGATCATAAAAACACTGGCATACACTGATTCATAAAAACATTGTCACCCACTGATTCATAAAAACATTGTTACACACTGGATCATACAAACACTGGCACACACTGGTTCATACAAACATTGGCATACACTGATTCATAAAAACATTGTCACCCACTGATTCATAAAAACATTGGCACACACTGGATCATAAAAACACTGGCACACGCTGGATCATACAAACATTGGCACACACTTGTTCATACAAACATTGTCACACACCGGTTCATACAAACACTGGCACACACTGATTCATAAAAACATTGGCACACACTGATTCATAAAAACATTGGCACACACTGATTCATAAAAACAGAGCTACTGAAAAACAAAATATTAGTGACCTGGTTCCATGTACAAGCATACTGATTGGGTGAACATGCTGCAGTGGCATAATCACTTGTTAATAACATGCAGAAGATGCAGTGGTTTGAGTCCAGGATAACATAGTATATCACAATAACCTAAAATTTGTTATCAGACCAGTCAATCCAGTGGTTGATAGCGTGTGGGTCTGGACCAGACAAGCCTGTGGTTGACAGCGTGTGGGTCTGGACCAGACAAGCCTGTGGTTGACAGCGTGTGGGTCTAAACCAGACAAGCCTGTGGTTGATAGTGTGTGGGTCTGAACCAGACAAGCCTGTGGTTGATAGTGTGTGGGTCTGAACCAGACAAGCCTGTGGTTGACAGCGTGTGGGTCTGGACCAGACAAGCCTGTGGTTGACAGCGTCTGGGTCTGGACCAGACAAGCCTGTGGTTGATAGTGTGTGGGTCTAAACCAGACAAGCCTGTGGTTGACAGCGTGTGGGTCTAAACCAGACAAGCCTGTGGTTGATAGTGTGTGGGTCTGAACCAGACAAGCCTGTGGTTGATAGTGTGTGGGTCTGAACCAGACAAGCCTGTGGTTGACAGCGTGTGGGTCTGGACCAGACAAGCCTGTGGTTGACAGCGTCTGGGTCTGGACCAGACAAGCCTGTGGTTGATAGTGTGTGGGTCTGGACCAGACAAGCCTGTGGTTGACAGCGTGTGGGTCTAAACCAGACAAGCCTGTGGTTGATAGTGTGTGGGTCTGAACCAGACAAGCCTGTGGTTGATAGTGTGTGGGTCTGGACCAGACAAGCCTGTGGTTGACAGCGTGTGGGTCTAAACCAGACAAGCCTGTGGTTGATAGTGTGTGGGTCTGAACCAGACAAGCCTGTGGTTGATAGTGTGTGGGTCTGAACCAGACAAGCCTGTGGTTGACAGCGTGTGGGTCTGGACCAGACAAGCCTGTGGTTGACAGCGTCTGGGTCTGGACCAGACAAGCCTGTGGTTGATAGTGTGTGGGTCTGGACCAGACAAGCCTGTGGTTGACAGCGTGTGGGTCTAAACCAGACAAGCCTGTGGTTGATAGTGTGTGGGTCTGAACCAGACAAGCCTGTGGTTGACAGCGTGTGGGTCTAAACCAGACAAGCCTGTGGTTGATAGTGTGTGGGTCTGAACCAGACAAGCCTGTGGTTGACAGCGTGTGGGTCTGAACCAGACAAGCCTGTGGTCGACAGCATGTGGGTCTGGACCAGACAAGCCTGTGGTTGACAGCGTGTGGGTCTAAACCAGACAAGCCTGTGGTTGACAGCATCTGGGTCTGGACCAGACAAGCCTGTGGTTGACAGCATCTGGGTCTGGACCAGACAAGCCTGTGGTTGATAGTGTGTGGGTCTGAACCAGACAAGCCTGTGGTTGACAGCGTGTGGGTCTGGACCAGATAACCAGTGGTTGATAGTGGGTGCCCAATCACCTCCAAACTTGGCTCACAAGCTGGTCTGGGTACCCAATCACTTCCAAGCCTGGCTCACCAGCTGGTCTGGGTACTCCATCACTTCCAAACATGGCTCACCAGCTGGTCTGGGTACCCCATCACTTCCAAACATGGCTCACCAGCTGGTCTGGGTACCCAATCACTTCCAAGCCTGGCTCACCAGCTGGTCTGGGTACCCCATCACTTCCAAACATGGCTCACCAGCTGGTCTGGGTACCCCATCACTTCCAAACATGGCTCACCAACTGGTCTGGGTACCCAAGCACCTCCAAGCCTGGCTCACCAGTTCTTCTTTAGCTCAGTGAGAAGACAAGACCAGGTTAGTAGTTCCTTTGGTAAGTCACTGACACAATACTGCTATCAGACAGAACGTGCTGCAACAAGAACATGCAAGACAAAGACATGTGCATGTGCATCTGAGTATTACGTTTCATCGATGAATGTCCTTGTGAGCAAATTACATCAGTCTCTCATGAAGGAAAGGGACTTCAACAACAACTCACAACAGGCAAGCCATTGGTTCTTCCCCTATCGTCCTTGTTTCATAATTATATCCTGAGCAAGGCAATATAATGTTAGTCTGAACAAAATGCATTACAATCATACAATGGATTACAGACAGAACAAAGAGACGAGAACTGTGTGACATACAAAAGAGAAATATTATGACTTAGAAATCAATGCCAGCATTTGTTGATATAACATGACAAAGCCAGGCTTTGATTTCAAGGTAATTGATTCTCAGTTGAGGAAAATGTCATGTCTCTGGCTAAAGTGTGCAGATACAACAATGCTGTGGCCGACATCAAAGGAGAGACGTGAAAATGCCAGTTCTGTTTACGACAACCCTACAGCCCAGCGTTGCGCCGGCAGATAGGGAACACGGCCATGTTGGTATACCCCCTCTATCTGCTACATGTACTGATACAGTGGTACAATGTTGTACCATGATACAGATCACATTTATTATGTGGCTCAAACAGCCTAGTCGGAGAGAGTGAATAATTAAACAATAACAGACATATCATGGTAGTTTGTACATAGACAAGTATGCGCCAATGGTTCACAGCTTGAGCAACGATGAGTCTCAGGTACGGTGAGTCAGGTCACATGGTGACCCTCTGATCCTCATCTTAGTCGGCTCACATCACAATGGGGTTTGGTGGATCTGTTCTGCCCTGGAATCCCCACAGGGAAACAAGCATGGGGTACTGGGGACCTATTTTGCCCTGGAATCCCCACAGGGAGACAATCATAGGGGTTGGGTGGATCTATTCTGCCCTTGAATCCCCACAGGGAGACAAGATTGGGGTCTGGGGACCTATTCTGCCCTGGAATCCCCACAGGGAGACACAGATTGGGTTCTTGGGACCTATTCTGAACTGGAATCACAACAGGGAGAAAAGCATGGCGTACTGGGGACCTATTCTCCCCTGGAAACCCCTTTGGGAAATAAGCATGGGGTCTGGGAACCTATTCTGACCTGGAATCCCCACAGGTAGACAAGGATGGAGGTCTAGGCCTGGAATCCCCACAGGGAGACACAGGATTGGGTTCTGGGGACCTATTCTGGCCTGGAATTCCCATAAGAAGACACACATAGGGTTCTGGAGACCAAATTCTGCCCTGGAATCCCCACAGGGAGACAAGCATGGGGTACTGGAGATCTACTCTACCCTGGAATCCGCACAGGGAGACAAGCATAGGGGTCCGGGGACCTATTCTGACCTGGCATCCTCACAGGGAGACACGCATGGGTGTCTAGGGACCTATTCTGGCCTGGAACCCCCACAGGGAGACACAGATTGGGTTCTGGGGACCTATTCTGGCCTGGAACCCCCACAGGGAGACAAGCATGGGATACTGGGGACTTATTCTACCCTGGAATCCCCACAGGAAGACAAGCATGGGATACTGGGAACTTATTCTACCCTGGAGTAAGTGAGTAAGTGAGTGAGTATGGTTTTACGCCGCTTTTAGCAATATTCCAGCAATATCACGGCGGGGGACACCAGAAATGGGCTCCACACATTGTACCCATGTCGGGCGTGACGAGCGAACGCTTTAACCACTAGGCTACCCGACCGCCCCTATTCTACCCTGGAATCTACACAGGAAGACACAAACTGGGTTCAGGGGACTTATTCTACCCTGGAATCTACACAGGAGGAATAAGGAAGAAAATAAAATAATTCATCATTACAGGTCTAATGCACCATATGCAATTTCTTGTAAATTTTGTAGTTCACCAAATGAAAAACTTTTTCTGAAGAGCAATCTTGACATATGGTGTATCATGATAAAACACATGTATCTCTATATCACACACCCTACTTCCCCTAACACAACATCACAAGAAACAGATGTCTCCCGGAACAAGCTCACAAGGCAGTGATGAATGTGCAGTGGCTGGTGATATCTGATATCAACCAGGAAAATCAACTTAATTAATACACTACTCCTCTAAACACTGGAAAAAAAAGAAACTTATAAATTAGACATCTTAATGTACAGCAAAACCCAGCAGACTGAGAATCCTTGGGACAATTAAAAATATATACCACTAAAAAAACAGCTAAGGACCGTGGGTCCTTAACATTTTTTTAATAGTATATATGGAAGTAGCTGTAGCTTCAACAAGAGAGCTGAAAGAGAATCATACATTTCATTAAGTTGTCATTAATGAGGTTCCATGTCATGAAAAGTAACAAATGTCAATATACATGTATGCAATTGGCTCATCTTTCAAACAATATATCATATACTGCAAAATATTCATAAATTATAAACAGAAGAGTTCAATTTATATAATTATTTGAAATGCAATATTTTACTTTAATATCCCTATGCTTTTGTGTCTTGTTTTGTTTGTTGTTTGACGCCATACTCAGCAGTATTCCAGCCATATGATGGGGGCCTTTATATGATCAAGTCAGTACCAGACATTCAATTGGTTGATATTGCGAACACCGTCTTGATACGATAACATGCCATCAACCAAGTCATTGAGCCTGACCACCCGATCCACTTAGCAGCCTCTTACAGGTGAATATCATGATGTGACATTTCCAGGCACACAATCTTGAGCAGCATCTGATAGTTGTTACAATGTGCTCCACATTACACCTGAAGTTGTCATGTAATGTCCATCCATGAAGCTTAATGTCATGTAATGTCCATCCATGAAGCTCAATGTCATGTAATGTCCATCCATGAAGCTCAATGTCATGTTATGTCCATCCGTGAAGCTCAATGTCATGTAATGTCCATCCATGAAGCTCAATGTCATGTAATGTCCATCCATGAAGCTCAATGTCATGTAATGTCCATCCATGATGCTCAATGTCATGTAATGTCCATCCATGAAGCTCAATGCCATGTAATGTCCATCCATGATGCTCAATGTCATGTAATGTCCATCCATGAAGCTCAATGTCTTGTAATGTCCATCCATGAAGCACAATGTCATGTAATGTCCATCCATGAAGCTCAATGTCATGTAATGTCCATCCATGAAGCTCAATGTCATGTTATGTCCATCCATGAAGCTCAATGCCACGTTATGTCCATCCATGAAGCTCAATGCCACGTAATGTCCATCCATGAAGCTCAATGCCATGTAATGTCATCAATATTAAATCACAACTGTTACCAAATCTCGTCTGATCATTGTTCCATCCGGGTGCACGGGTGGCCCAGTTGTCTAAGGCGTCACGATTCACTGTGCAGAGTTGCATCCCTTGGGCATGCTGAAACCTATGATTGTGGGTTCGAATCCCAGTTCGCCCTGATTATGTTTCTTGGTTTGTCAGCACCATACCCATGCTTGTGGGTTTCACCGTCTGAGACCTGCAACACTTCAGGCTTTCCTCCTACATTAAGCTGACATGCCGTGATATAACTGGAATAATGTCAAAAGCGGTGTTAAACCTAACTCATTCACTCATTGTTCCATCCAACCTGACTTGGTGTGGATGGTAAGTGGCGCTGTATGTAACAACTGGTGACAATGTCTTGGTGTGAATGGTCAAACGGTGCTGTATGTAACAACTGGTGACAATGTCTTGGTGTGAATGGTCAAACGGCGCTGTATATAACAACTGGTGACAATGTCTTGGTGTGAATGGTCAAATGGTGCTGTATGTGACAACTGGTGACAACATCTTACCTGCATGATAAGCAGACCCAGGAAGTAGGCGTTGGCCAGGCGCTGGAACTGCTCGAACAGGTTCTTGGGCAGGAATGTAAGCACATTGTACTTGGACGTGGAAATGTAGTTGTTCTGGGGAGAAAGTACAAACATGAGCACACCCAGCTGGAGACTCTTAGCATCTTTTACAATAGTCCCTACAATGATAACATACAGAAAACCCCTTAAAATTGGCAAATTTCGACTGGTTCTATGATACGTAACTATTGGACAGATTGGCAAGGACTTTAGGACTAGTGCTAATTTCTAACGCTGCTGACTGTAGGTGTCATTATGCTCCATGGCATGACAATGACTGATTCTGGCACTTGCACATAGCCCTGATGGAAGAGGATATTTTTTCTCAGCTTCCCTGAGTATCTTAGACTTAATTTCATCCTGTATTTGTCTCAAAAGTGCAGCATAATATGCTCAGTTTATTAACTGGCCTTTTGGAAGACAGTCCGCCATGGTGAAACCCTCGGTATCCCAGAACACTGAGGCTATAATCTTTTCAGCTAATGGGACAGTCATTGCCTTCTTTGGTGGTGGTAATGTCAAATGCTTACACTGCTTTGATTGATGTTTGGACTCAGACTGGAAGTGGTGAACCCAAGTTTCATCCATAGTCACAAACTTTTGCAAGACCCTTTCTGGATCAGTTTCAAACAGAGATAGATTATCATGAGACACGTGCCTGGAGCTCTTTTTTATCTTTTTTAAGTTTCTGTGACAATGGATTGTACTCTCTCCTGGATATGCCTACTGGACTTGCAATATGATGCGAAGTCTTTTGTCAGTTGGTCATCACCATATCGTGGATCATTTCTGGTGTTTCTGACGTGACAGGTAAGTCTCTCCCTGCCACACTGAAACATTGCTGGGCACCAATGCCAAGGACTTGGAAGGGACATCCGTCCCCAGTGTTGTACTCATACTTTCATGAATAGCTTTTGGAGTGGTGCCCTCTTTTCTGCAAGTTCCTGATCAATGCATCTATCTCAAGTTTGTCCATTTTCCAATGTCACACCTGCTTATTTACCTGAATTGTCACAGCGAAACAGTTTGCTCGATTGACTCAAGTTTTGTGGATATACCTCTATGGCATCATGTAATGTCCACAAGGAAGGATTTCACTATTTAGCAATTCCTTCTATCTGAGGCTCAGAACTTATCAATCAACCCTTGTATAATAGCAGACAATTTCTCTTGTAATCAATTGATACTTTGATATCATTACATTCCTATTTTTAACCCAAATATTAATATAGAGTTCTAAAAAGAACCTTATTGAATATATATTGATCATATACCGTGTTGCGTCACTCTGCTCGAAAACAAAACTTACCTACAAGTACATGTACAAGTACAATAGCAAGCAAAGAAATCTAGATCCTTGCCCAACAGGTGTGTGTGGGCGTGACTGGTTTCAACTAAACATTCACCACAAATGAACGGACATTGTGGGGATTCAATTCCTGGATGACTCCGAGCAGCACAACCAACCACTGAGCTAACTGTGGCCACAATCGCCAACTGTTGCCTACCTCTTCAGAACACACCTTAATGTCAATGTTCCATCGAGACTTAGCGTGTATGGGTTTATGCCTTTGTGAACAGTATTTAAGTTCCATTACAGCATGTAAGCGTGGGAGTAAGGCTTGAAGTGACTGATTCATAGACGGTTAAAATTTTGGCAAAACCCGTGGTATGCTTCTGACAGCAATTTCCAAGGTCAATTTCAGGATTCAAACTCACAATCAGAGCATCCTAACTAAACCAGTGGACATAAGTCACTTGGGTCCTGAGATGTAACAACAAAAATACTCACAGAGTGCAACTAACCAAATAACGATGAGGTTGTATGGTTATAAAATATGCACAGTTTGTACTAAAGGTACTAAATTTGTACTAAACACAGCTAACTGTGAATTTGAGGTTTATATTATGAGAACATCTGCTGCGACCTCACTATTTCATGTTTCACATAATTATGTGTCTGACTGCATGCATCAGCAATTTTAGATACTACCGGTACATAAAGAGAATTAACGTTAATTCACTGATAAACATTCCTGACATTGTACACGATGCCGCTTTTTCCAGTGTGACAATCATGATGCATAAAGCCAGCACATGTCAGCATTTTGTCTCCTATAACTAATCTCGCTCATCTCTCGTAGAAACACAATTAATAATCAGCCTTTCTCACATACTTGTTTTCGAGTTTCGTTTCATCATAGTAACAACTAAGTTGTAGACGGGTATATTGTTTTGTCTGTCTGTTTGTTGTTTAACGCCACACTGAGCAATATTCCAGCTATATGATGGCGGTCTGTAAGTAATCGAGTTAATCCAGTGATTGACATCATGAGCATCGATCCACGCAATTGGGATCGATGACATGCATCAACCAAGTCAGCATGCTGGTATGTTGTTACAATGATGCCAGTTGTTCGTGAAAAGGTGAGCGTATCTTGACCCACCCGTGGCATCTTTTGAGCAAGCGTCGTACGACACGCTGAGTCAGCATTGTATATAATGGAGGACCGGGGACAAATTCTGCCCCTACATGTGTTTAAATTCATACAGCAGGAGAGAAATATATCTGTAAACACAATTCTCCAATGTACTTGAGGTCTTTATAACTACAAGCTTAATAACGAGCATCTAAATTTATCTCCTTCGTCTCGTTGAAAAAGACACATTTCAAGAGCAAATAAAATATTTGAACTTTCAAACTGGATTTTTACATGATCAGAACGAGTACAATAGTCACATGATCTTGTTTCCAAAAGTTTGCACAGTTCATTTCCCCAGATGCGCCGGATCTAGGACCGTCAAACAGAGCATTTTCAGTCTGTTCATGGCCACGGAAGCTTTTTCCCACGACAATGAGTGACACCATTCACTAGAGGCATAAAAACAAACACTCCTCCATCACAACTCGGGCAGTGCAACTGGCACATCAGTCAATCAATTGCTCTGACATGGCAATTATCTACCGCAAAATCTATGTCAAAATGTTCTGAGTAGAGTTAAAAAGAATCTGAGGTACATGTGATGTTTGCACAGGTGGTGAAAACTCTGTTCTGAGATTGCCATTAAGTTATTATCCAAGTCAACCAAATAAATAACATCATGCAAAAAAGTTACTGACATGTCAATATTCTTAAAACATGTGGTATTTTCACATTTTTTTTCCATTTTCACTCTCTTCTTAAAAAACAGAAAATCTTTTTTTGTGTTGAAACAGAAAAGCTGACTAAAGGGAATACATCTGAGCTCTGATTTTAAATATCTGTCAAATTTTCTAAAGATATGATGTAAAACAGTTGCAAAGTAGCCAACCATTAATGTTCAAAAAGAGCTAGGGGCAGTTGCTAAAAGCTGAGTGAGTGAGTGAGTGAGTGAGTGAGTGAGTGAGTGAGTGAGAGTATGGTTTTACGCCGCTTTTAGCAATATTCCAGCAATATCACGGCGGGGGACACCAGAAATGGGCTTCACACATTGTACCCATGTCGGGAATCGAACCTGGGTCTTAGGCGTAACGAGCGAATGCTTTAACCACTAGGCTACCCAACCGCCCCAAAAGCTGAATAAAACCACTCACTCACTCAAAAAGAGTGAATTGGTGTTTGTTCTTTCACACAAAACTCAGCAATATTCAAGCTGAATGAAGGAGGCATGTAAATAACCCAGTCTTGACCAGTGATTGATATTATGAGCTATAATCCATGCGGATATGTTAACAAGCCACCAACCAAGTCACCGAGCTTGACAACCCAGTCCACTAAAATAATTCCCTCTTAAGACCAGTATAGGTTGCTGGGGACCAGTTTTAACCATGAATCCCTACAGGTCTCCAATTTAGGCACCTCTTTAGACAAGCAATAGGGTACTGGGGACACATTCTCCATCAGGCCCCATCAGGGTTCAAATAGAGTCTCCACTTGAAAGGAAGGGATTATTAACGCTGAAAAATAATGAAATGGACATTTTTAAGGAACATAAAAGAGGCAGTAACATCCAACAAGATGCACATTTCAATGTTGTACTCACTGCATATTCAAATTGAGCATTGTATTCTGTGTCATTGGCTTTTATTCTTCTTTCAATTTCTGAAAAACAAAAATTGAGATTGATTAGGTTTCTAATCGGTAACAGTGACACATTAAGCTATAATGCTCACAGTAAGAATGAGAAACAGGGATATTTAATCATTCTAACTAGACTCAAGCCATAAGAGAGTTATTAGATATCTCAGGTTGTCAACCTCTACTCCAAGCTGACCAGGGCCCCGTTCCTCAAAGCTATGTCAGCACTAAGGCGGTCGTAAGGCCCATACTTTAACATAGGCTTACGATCATCGTAGTGCTAAGATCGCTTTGAGGAACGGGGCCCAGGCCTAGTTGTGTTGTCTCCATGGGATCTTCAGTGACATCATCGATATTTTAGTGCTGCTCCATGGCCTTATGAAAACATTATACACAAGAATGTGAAGTTTGGACGATGGCATCATGAAACAGAATATACCACATGGCTCTAAATTTGAAGACTGCAAAACACGAAGTAATGCCAGTGTTCTGTAGCCTGTCTGTGTGTCTTGGTGTTGACTTGTTGGCTCCAGGCATTCTGAGTACACAAATACCTTCTGCCACTATGACATTCAATATCATGTAACAAATATTATATTTGGGATAACACTTTCTTTGAGAAGTACAGATTCTAGCACTTTTTTGGGTTGAGTCACGTCCGGGATTCGAAACAACACTTGTCAGAAGGGTACATAAAATACTTGACCTAGACTACCAGTTGTCGGACTTTCTTTTTTGTGGAAACCTCGGTGGCCGAGTGGTTAAGGTCACTTTGTGTGCTGGCGATTAGGTGCCTAACTCTGGCAATTAGGGTTCGAATCCCGGACGGGACTCAACCAAAATGAGTACAAGAATCTGTACTTGACTAAGAAAGTGTTATTCCAAATATAACATTTGTTACATTGACCACTTTCCAAACAGGCATTGAGTGTTCATTGACTACCATGGTCTGGTGGAAGTTAAAGTTGGTTGGTTGGTTGGTTGGTTGGTTGGTTGGTTGTTTAACGCTGCACTCAGCAATATTCCAGCTATATGACGTAAATCCTTCTGTAAATAATCGAGTCTGGACCAGACAATCCAGTGATTAATATCATGAGCATCGATCCATGCAATTGGGATCTTTGACATGCATCAACCAAGTCACCGAGCCTGTCCACCCGATCCCTTTAGTCGCCTTTTACGACAAGCATAGTCACCCTTAACGGCAAGCATGGGTTGCTGAAGACCTATTCTACCCCGGAATCTTCACAGGTCAGAGGTTAAAGTGGCAAACATGTGGAGAAACATGAAAACACCGATATTGGTAAAACAACAATACAGATACTGTATGCCTTCCTAGGCGGCTATTGTTCAAAGGGTCAAGGGTCAAGGGTCAAGGGTCACCTCTCTTTTCTAATGCACTCAGGAGGTTATCACAGCTCTACCCTTGAGCAGTCAACATGGACATGTTTTCACCACATCAAAATAACAAAGCAATCTCACCAAATGGGATGGTTCTTCCCACATGACTTAAACCCCCATCAATGAAGACCAAGTCAAAAATATATTAGCGCTGTGAAAATACCATTCAACTGTAGATAGATCAACAATATCATCATCATGTTAAAAGCCTGATATAGAATCCAAAATGTTCATGATACTCCTTACAGGGTACAGACAATCTGACTCGGATTACCATATTCAACGTAATAAACGCCCAGGGCGCTCTCAAAATTAAAAAAAGGGGGCTCTTATTAGAATATAATTTTGGTGAAAACAAAAATCGTAAATTTCTAGGTTTATGTACCTGAAATGATACAAAAGAATACGGTAATATAGAAAATGTCCCCTAATCCTGCTCCAACCTACCCCTGCCACTATCGCCAGCATTACACAACATTATCAACACTCTGCTAGTTATCACACCCAGAACAGCATCAGAACGTCGGACAGGGGATCAGCCAGACTTAAGAGATGCAGACCCATATATAAAGATGAATATCACGGCACTAAGGATTGCCGCAGTACAAAATGCTAACAGCATTGCCCACCATAACGAGAGATAGCACAACCAGCAAATGTGATGAGATTACAAATGACAGTCAAACAGCCTGGCGTGCCTGTGCAATCGCCTGCCATCATGGCATCCGGACAAACAGAGTGGAGTCCCGCAGGGATTGGTATTGGTGCCATGCTCCCTCAATCAATGTGCCTGAGACGTAATTGGCAAGGGCTCTATGTCACCGGCCAGGATAGTCCTCATCACAGACATCAATTGTATTTGTGACACACCTTGCACATTATCAGTCATCAGAATGAGACTTCACAAGGAAGATCAGCATACATCTTGCCACGGACTACAGTGTCCAGGCTTTCATCATGATGCAGCATGTGCCGGTATTTACCCCTATCCTGGTTCTCGTGTAGTAATGTGACAGCAGATCACATGTGAAAGAGTAAATTATTAAACCATATTTGGGCTAGTACAGCTTAATAAGTTGTCAGTTTCTGATCTGATTGAAGCAGTTGATACTTCTAGCTCCCATAGCCTAAAATATAAGGTTGAAAATATAGAATGGCTTCAAGCAAGCAAAGAGGTTTAAGCTCTAATTAAAACTTGAAAGATAGCAAGTTTAACTTGAAAATTGAAGGTTCATGTCAAGCACTGCCTGAATTAATTTGAAGTTTGAGATGACATAGACTCAATGTGGCAAGGATTCAAAGTGTAAAACAATTCAGGTAAACAAATCCTGAAAAATGCCAACATGTTTGTATGCACCTGCAAAGATACACAACATTGGGGCACCTGCAAGGATACACAACATCGAGGCACCTGCAAGAATACACAATATCAGGGGCACCTGCAAGGATACACAACATTGGGGCACCTGCAAGGATACACAACATCGGGGCACCTGCAAGGATACACAACATTGGGGCACCTGCAAGGATACACAACATTGGGGCACCTGCAAGGATACACAACATTGGGGCACCTGCAAGGATACACAACATCGGGGCACCTGCAAGGATACACAACATCGGGGCACCTGCAAGGATACACAACATCAAGGCACCTGCAAGGATTCACAACATCGAGGCACCTGCAAGGATACACAACATCGTGGCACCTGCAAGGATACACAACATTGGGGCACCTGCAAGGATACACAACATCGGGGCACCTGCAAGGATACACAACATTGGGGCACCTGCAAGGATACACAACATCAGGGCACCTGCAAGGATACACAACATTGGGGCACCTGCAAGGATACACAACATCGGGGCACCTGCAAGGATACACAACATCGAGGCACCTGCAAGGATACACAACATCGTGGCTCCTGCAAGGATACACAACATTGGGGCACCTGCAAGGATACACAACATTGGGGCACCTGCAAGGATACACAACATCGGGGCACCTGCAAGGATACACAACATTGGGGCACCTGCAAGGATACACAACATCGGGGCACCTGCAAGGATACACAACATCGGGGCACCTGCAAGGATACACAACATTGGGGCACCTGCAAGGATACACAACATTGGGGCACCTGCAAGGATACACAACATTGGGGCACCTGCAAGGATACACAACATTGGGGCACCTGCAAGGATACACAACATCGGGGCACCTGCAAGGATACAAAACATCGGGGCACCTGCAAGGATACACAACATCGGGGCACCTGCAAGGATACACAACATCAAGGCACCTGCAAGGATTCACAACATCGAGGCACCTGCAAGGATACACAACATCGTGGCACCTGCAAGGATACACAACATTGGGGCACCTGCAAGGACAGTAGGCCATATTTTCCATTCATGATGCTGACTTATATGGTCAAACTAAAATATTTTAACGGGATGGGTATTGAAGGTCTTCAGTGTATCTCAATATTTTACGATGCACAAGGCCATATTGCAATGCATATCATGATATACTGTATAATTCTAAATTTTGAATTCAGAAGCAACTTGAAACACGTTTTCATGAATTTAAATTCATAAATGGGACAAAACAAGACGTTTGTACAAAATAATGTTTACTCATGCAATAAACAAGCACAGATGCTCTGCGTATTTGTCAAACATATAACATTAAACACATGGTAAAATCGCTCATTTGTAATCACACTATATACAGATTCTTAAAAAATCATATTGTGATACGCATGGTGGAAAGAAGAAACCTCAATTTACTGATATATTGGTAATACTGCCAACCTTACTAACTACAAAGCGCAACCAGAGTTTGCCACTAACGTGGCTATATCCCCCGCCCCTGTTGCAGAATTTATGACATTATGAAATCTAAACAAACCCTAACCTTTTTTAACCGAGGTGGAAAAGAAGAGTTTGGAATCTAAGTCCATCTTGTTGCCATGGAAACGTAAAAAATAAAAAATTCTAAAATTTCTAAATAGCAAAAGGCACCAGTTCAGCATGTACCTGACAGATCTGCAAATTTTGAACGGTTTCTGAGTTATGCTCTGGAAATGAAACGTGATGGATGGACGTACGTACGTAAAGACAGAGCCCGTTTCTATATCCCCCACCAACTTTGCTGGGCAGGGGATAATAAACTTATACGCTTAAAATGTTCCCACTATCTTTTCAACTGTAAAAGTTAAAACATGACAAAACACACAAGAACTGTGTCATAGGGACAAAAGAGCAGAAGCTGAGAAGACTAAAGGAACATCACTGGCTGCAGCTACAAGCAGTGAACCAGGCAGCCTCCCACTAAACAATCCTTCAATGTTGGACCTATTCCACTGACAATATAAATATATCTTCTGTGTTCCAGACAAATTAGGGAAATTGACACATCCAATGCCTCCTTGTCAAGCTGGAGAAAACTATAGGAGATTAAACACTTTTTTTCCAGCAAGATCGATCATTGGTTGTAGTGCAAACCTGAAGTTCAACAACCCCATTCAATAGGAAACTGTTGAACACAGAGACTCCATCTCTACCTGTAAAGATGGCTGCTTCACTGGTGAACAGTATCTATGGCCATCAGTTGTGTT